CAGATGTTACTGGCAAGGAGCCTCTCTCTACGACACACGGAGCCCTGATACGAAACCTCAGCTTTGAGTTCAAGGAATAGTGGATGGGTTGGAACGTCCCACGCTCATCCCGGTCTAGCCGCCACTTTGTTTCACAATAACTCGCGCGCGTCACTAAATGCTGGAACAAATTCGGCCCCAGTTTAGAAATATTTCCCGGTGAGTAATGCCGCTGCGTATGGTTTTGGCGGTCTGGCTGCTGTGCAGCTGCACACTCGGAAGTGTTTTTTTTCGAGGGTGTTATAGCCACTTTGTCGAGCTGTCATTTGTGCACGGCCAGGTCGCTTCTGATCAAATAAGCGAAATAGCTCGGTGGGCTTTAGCTGATAAAATACAAAAAAATAGTTTATTTTTTTATTTTTTTTCAAGTGATTTGTTTACCTATCCTATACTGTACTTTCAACTGCTATCACGTTTTTTTTTTACCCCGTGCCCCTACTGGACATCTGTACAAAATAACTTTATAGCTCACCGGATTCCTCCAGTGTAAATGCATTTTCTGATTCCGATTTTGTTCGGTGCTATGTCTGATGTTTCGCTCGATGTGCCGGGAGCTTCTTCAGGAACCGAATTTCGAGGTTCACCGAGAGAGACAATATCATGGTGATGTCGCTGGAAGCGCGTGACCTGTTTTGTTGGGCCACGAAAGGCACGGCGGTTAGGGAATTTGAATGTGAGCTCGGTCACTAAACCTTGGGTAAAAATTTTTTATATTCACGCATTCCTCTTGTCAAGGAGCATAAGCCATCATCTCGCAAAACTCCGGTGGTCATCCTTGTAGCAGCGGCTTTTGGCTGGCCATCGAACAAAGACGGTGGCCACCGCATTGCGTGCTTTAAGACGAGCTTTTGTCGCCGTCTGAAACGCTCTGCCATCCGATATTTGGAGTCCACTGGAGCCATTAACTTTTTCAAATGATCTCGATTGAAAACTAATTTCCTGACAACTAATTTTTTTGTTTAGTTCGTTGTCCTTCCCCCCCACCTCCGATTGTCACGGTTTGTTACGTACGGTGTCAAAGAAGTTCAACGTGACATACATACAACTCGTTAGTTGCTGTTTGATAGAAAGCTCTTATGCGCTGGTTACAAAGTTACTTGCCACTCCAGAGTCTAAAGGAGCATGATCATGTTTTCGGATTGTAATTCTTCTCCATAGTCGGCCGACTGAAGGATTCGGCTTGGCGGAGAGTGTATTGGATTCCGCAAATGTTTCTGTTCATTAAAATTGTTAAATGTATGTATATGCACCGGGCTTATTGCAGGGAGAGGACAGCGCGGGAAGATTTGCTGTTGTGTTCTTGGGTTTTTTCGGTAAAGTCACGTAGGTAAAAAATTTAAATTAATAAAAGTAAAAGAAAAATAATATAATAAAATACCTGCGTGACTTTACCGAAAAAACCCAAGAATATTAATCCTTGCAGTCACGAAAGCTTCAAATCTAGAATTTGCTGTTGTGCTCTACTTGTATAGCCCCTTGCCTGTACTAGTTCACCAGCCTGCACTGGCAGGCATGGCGAAGGGTGGCCAACTAACCCTGATGACCTCGCATGGCGTGGAGAGGTCCTCATCCAGCAGTGGATTTGACTAAAGTGCCATACTTGTGCACACCATGGGGCGCAGTGGTAAGCTCACTGCGCTATCGGCTTGAGTTAAATTCCCAGCCACGGCTAACGTCAGTGGCAAATCCTTGGGCCCACACCCCTCCTCACTCCTTCGCCAACGTGCCTTGACCAGCTTGGTGAAGTATGTTGCAAACACCCCGCTTGTCCCAACGTGGCATGGCAAGGCCTTTATCCAACGGTCGGCTGAAACGGACTGAAAAAAATTGTTCATTATTTTATTTAGAATTTACCACCAATGACATCATTGCAGCATACGCTTGTTTTATTGTAATCTACCACTGCTATAGTCAGCTGAGTGCCACGTGGTGTTAGGAAACGGTCCCGGAAGATCAAACCACAGAGCCACTTCTTGAGTGGCTTCACTCGGCCTTTTTCCGCCAACACGAGAGAGCGCTGTTGCACGTACTGTGAATAGCGATTTCTCATTTTTCGTAAAACACAGCCCGGTTACCAATCACAGAACCGAGATTTGGTTGTGCAATTAATCTGCCCGAATGTTTATCCGTGTCTTATCCGATGTAGGCGTGTGTCGGGTCGACTGTCACGCGGTGACCATTACCCTGGGAGGCGGGGCGGGTGGGAACATGCTGCCCCCTGCTGTGTGTCAGCGGAGAGTACTTGTACGGCTCTCGGAGGTAGCTCTGTGGTATCCGCTTCCTGCAATCTGGATACAGGTTTGACTTGGTGATTTGGTCATTAAGCCTGGAAAAAAAGCACATTCATGCGTTTCTCCGTAACTTGTTAGTTGCCGTTGTGACAGAGATCGCTTATGCACTGGTTACAAACTTACTTGCCACTCCAGAGTTAAGGTATCCGCTTTCTCCGGCTGTCTTCTTTTGAATAGATTATTGGTCTCGTGTGAGATGATGGCAATCTGGATACAGGTTTGACTTGGTGATTTGGTCACTAAGCTTTGGAAAAAACTCATTCGTGCGTTTCTCCGTAACTTGTTAGTTGCCTTTGCGACAGAGATCGCTTATGCACTGGTTACAAACTTACTTGCCACTCCAGAGTTAAGGGAGCATGGTAATATTTTCGGATTGAGGAGTAGTGATCGTCATCTGTTGACAGTCCAGAAGTCTTGTTGGTAATTTCACATTCATATTCTGGGGTCTGGTCTAGTCATTAAACTCTTTACTTTACACAATGTGTTTCTCATTTGATCTGCTATTGAGAGATGATGATGATAGTATTATTAGTCTGGTAAAATCATAGGAATATAATGGCTTGAACTTAATTTAGTAAGAGTAACATCTTTGACATGTTGACCTTTCACAACGCCAGTCGCTATTGACAATAATAATAATGTGACATTATGGAGTGTCTCACTCGCTTCAGCATAATAATAAGGTTTTTCCCCTTTTTTTCTGGCAACAAAACTGAAACCTTTTTACGAGGATTCATGTTTGCATTAACCACAATACTTGCAGTCAAAATGCAAACAAAAAACACACTGATAATATCTGCATTGTCCTTGAAACTGATTGGTCCACACCAAGGGATGGCTTTCTTTTGAGGGGAAAAACCCTATTATTATATTTTGGTACTGGCAAAGGAGGTCTAATGATGTAGTCGCTTCAGCATCTCAAGACACTGTTGAGCGCAGCCATAATTAACATTAACGGAATACTTCAAGTTAAAATGAATAGTAAGCCAATCAAAACAAAACCATGACCTGGGCAGATTTATGGGTGGTGTGAGACACACACACCCCATGCCCAAGCCACCCCAGCCACCCCACACACGGAGCAACGCTGAATGACATCGATGCATTGCATTTTTTAAAAATCAGAATGAAACCACGAGAGAGCTTTTTTCTTGCCTGTTACAGATGGCATGAAAAATGCAATGGCCGTGTGGCTAATTTGTGCCATTGTTTGGGTATGCCGCACCGTCGTCATGAGGTTGTGGATTTGTAATAATAAATAATTGTTATTTCTAATATCCAGGAAAGGCACACTGAAGCCAAGGACTTGGGAGGGTTGTCGGGAGAGTCCTGCCTTTAAATTAAATTTTGCGAAACCGGAGCACTTTTTCTCTTCTTGGTTCTTTCGGTAAAGTCACGTAGAAGGGAAATAATAAAATAATAAAAATAAAACATAATAAAATAAAATTGCCACGAGCGCGAGAGGGTGCAACACTCACCCCCATACAGATGGAAATGGGTGGAGATTAGTCCACTTGCTGCACTGCCTTTGCTTGTCCAGGCGGCGTATGGCACTTCCTCGACTCCCACGGGAAGGGAATTTCACAAAAAGATTCAGTATGTAACCCACCAGAATCAGGTTAGAATCAGAATATTTATACTGGACGAATTCCATGAGCTATAAAGCTCTTTTTCAAACTGACCACCACAGTTGCTGGGTAACAGGCATGCGCCACCACAGGCTACAATGTTTTTTCCATTATAAGGCGGCTGTTAATGAACAAATGAGGTGATTTTTTGAGTTGTGTCTGTTCATCACTGTCAACAAAGTCCCTTACGGTTTAGTGTCATTTTGACTTTGATAACATGTCACTCACGTACTACGGCTGCCAGTCTTTTTCTATTTTCACAGTTTTGCAATTGTATGCTCTAAATACTGAACGCGTGAAGACATGTGATTTAAATGCACGTTAACACAGGTCTGCATTCATAAGCCGAGTGATTAAGTTTTTTGCTTCATCATCTAACGACCCTTTTAACTTCCTCTTTACAGGATATTTCCGCAAAATGTGAAGGAACGCAACTTGAAACTGACAAAAAATGTATTTGTTACAAGACAACAGAAACTAACAAAGGAATGTGGATTGCGTAGCAGAAATCTATTTAAGCCAATGTGCCAAACGTGCTCTTGAAGTTTCATCCGCAAACGTGAAGGTTCAGAATGAATTTCGCCAGGACGATCAACTCTTGCTACCCTTGCTGGGATGCTAGCCGCACAGTATCACAATGGAGCCCTGCACGTCCGTAGCCGAAAGGTTTCTTCCAGGATTTTGAATCTCCTCTTCCGGTGACTGTCGTACGTTGGGAAGGAAATACCCGAATTGTCGAGGGCAATGCGGAGGTACTGACAAGCGCTCGATCAAGAGGGAGCCCGCTGGATTTAAATGCGGACTGCACTCCCTGAAATAATGCTGCACAAATAGAGTTTTGCACCGGTCACGAAAACTTTCGAATGACAAACTCTACCGCCCTTTTTCTTCCCGTCTGGGCAGTTAAACGCTTAAACAATCGAAGAAACAAATATTGCACAAGCAAAACGAACAAACTAACAAACAAAAAGCCGCACGTGCGCATGCAGTTGCGTGTTTTCGTGAACAAAACAAATTGACAAAATGAGTGGGCGATTGGAAGATGGCCTGTCGGGCCACGCCAGAACTCGGCGGGAGCCCTGCGTTGGGGCCTAACGAAGGCTCGAGGGCCACTGACGGCTCGAGGGCCTGGGCAGGCCCTTCCGCGGGCGGCGTCGAACCAGGAAACGCTTGCAAACGGTCGCACAGGGGCGCCGTCAAACTTGCGTTGGTGGGAGGGCTGAGGTCGGGCGAGAAGGAAGCTGAGCTCTGCCCCACGACGGGGACGTCATCGCCGTCGGCCGGCCGGGGCCGCCACTGGTCAGAGGGTGGGCAGCGTGACGCCGATCGGCCGCACACGCTGTGCGTCTACCCCGGGGCGCTCGCCACGGACACGGTGGCCTGGCCCGTGGCGGCGACCCAAGACACGACAGCGGACGCCATCATCGAGGTGCTGACCCGCAAGCTCAGCCTGGATCCGACCAAGCGCTACGTCCTTGCAGAGGTGCCCTGATCTGTTGTTGTTGTTGTGCTGCTAGGTCCCCCCCCCCCCCCCCCCCCGAACTCTTCCGTTCCCTGCCATCTCTTCGTGTGCGAGTCTACACTTTTGAGATGTTTGTTACGTTGTGGGTGCGTTACAAACGTAACATGCTGTGTATTTTACCCCCAATTTGTATTCCATTTCTATTTCAAGAACCCTATGTATGAGATATTTCCTCTTTGCTGGTGCTATTTGTTTCTGGCCGCTGGTCCTTTTGGGACTTTGGGCCTTTGCTCAACAACCATGATGATAATAATAATATAAATGTTGTTGTGACGTAAGATAGATGAAGCATCCATTCATACTCTGTGTAGAGCCGTGTGTAACGGTGTTTGTTGGACAATTGCCCCACTGAAGCAGATAAGATAGAAGTGCTTCTGAAACTCCTTAATAGCGATCACTTTTATCCACATTTTAGGGAGGAGCACTTTTCAACGTGCTGTGCTACAGAGAGAAATGTTTGTTGCACGACGGTCAAACATCGTTCATTCTCAGAGCTGGACTTTAGTCAAACTAAGTGAAAATACAAATGTAATATTATGGGGTTTTTTTGTGCAGTCATTGGTGAGCATCAACTTGCGCAGATTGAGAATGTTGCCTGATCACGGGCGGCTGATACTCTGATTCCAGGATCTCAGTGGTGCCAACCGGAGGCCCTCACGGTGCCCCCCGCCAGCCACTGGAGGCGGTGCTAGGTTTATCGCAATCTAAAATAAACCATCTTCTTGGTTCTTTCGGTAAAGTCACGTAGAAGGGAAATAATAAAATAATAAAAATAAAACATAATACAATAATTCTCACGACGTTTCGGCCACAACGCAAGCAGCCGTCCTCCAGTGAGAACCAAGAAGATGAATCCCTGCAGTCACTGAAAGCTTTAAATCGAAATTTAAAATAAACCACTTAAATTGTTGTTGCAGTTGTACTCTATATAGATTTGTGCAGCCTTTGGTGACCTCCGGTCAATTGCAAATGTGACTACTAACCTTGGTCTCGTGAGTTCTCACTTGTTTAAACAAATGAAACTTAAAACGAAATTAACTTGAAACACTTTCTGCTACATGCAGCAGAATCCGAATCAGGATGTTTATTTATACTGGAGGAATCCGATGAGCTGTAAAGCTCTTTTTCACAGATGGAAAGGGCTTGTGTTTAAAGTCTCTCGCCAAAACTACCGCAAACTGATAACATAATAAGGAAAAAAAAAGCCGCAGCGTTTACAAAAAAGAATTTTAGCAAAAATGCAAACACGTTCTGATAAATAAACTGCGCAAGATGCGCCTGTGAGCTGGGGAGCAGTGGCACTGTGCTATGAACCTTAGCCACCTGAGCTCGATTCCTGGTCACGGCTGATGTCTGTTGCAGGTGGAGTCAACCTGGGTTGGTATATCACCTAGGTTGACTCAGCCATAAATGAGTACCTGGCACTCGTGTGCCGCACCGGCCTTAATAGGTGCTCGCTAATGGCAACTTGCCCCATAAGTATATAAAGCTGTGTGGGGGATCTTTGCTTGTGTGTGGTGCTTTTGAAATTGAGTACGAAACTGAACTTGGTAATCAGCTCCAATATAATTTCCTTTTTGAGAGAGTCCAATTTTTTTTTCTGTGGTTAGGAAAAAAAGCACAGTCCGTTCACCACAACTAAACCACGTTTATTGATAATGATGATGGCATTTGAGCGTATTAGGAAGGTATGGTTCTCTAAAACCTTCACTACCCTTGCAGCTCACAATTAAACGTACCGATGTGTTTTAAATTGGAGCTCTGCACTTTTGAATCTAGATTGAGAACTCATTTCTTTCTAACTGCTTTTTGTGTTCAGTTTGTTGTCCTTCCCCACGCATCTCCGATTAGCACGGTTGGCTATGTTCAGTGTGAAAGAAGTTCAACATACATACAATTCTGTGTTTTCCCCATTTTTTTTAAATTGCCTTTTACACTGACATTATTCAAACTGTGCTAATATGAAGAAACGTATTTTTCGCACTGCAACGAGCAGTGCATCACCCCATGTCCGAATACACCCCCAGACCCGCTTTTGAAGACACGTCAATATCGTATGCAGCATCTGTTTAATCGCACTCGTAGCGCACCTTGCGTTTGCTAGTTTCCCACGCGCCAACGGATGTAATCTTAGCGCTGTGTAATAACCTTCGTTCGCTGCGAATTCTCGTTAACACTAAATGATAATTTGCGTCATCATGCGGAATATAAGTAACATATCAGCGAGGCAAACAATGTGTCCTTAATTTTTCGATCTCTCTGCGTAAAAAAACGAAAAATATTTTTCATTAAACCCATCGGGGCCCACGGCCTCCTGGGAGTGCATCATATCGGCAGCATTGATACGGTACAAGCGACATCTGGACCGGTTTCAACATGCAGTGTCTCATCAGCAGACTCGGGCTTACTTGAATTGCTGCTGGGGAACTGTCAGATGTAATAGGCAAGGGCCCTTTATTTAAGACTAGCAGGTGTACTCGTTCTTCGCACGGAAATTCATAGTTTAGTCCTAGTGTATTATATCCTAGATTTGAAGCTTTCGTGACTGCAAGGATTCATATTCTTAGGTTTTTTCGGTGAAGTCACGTAGATACAAATTTTTAATTGTTAATTATAATTTTTAATTAAAATTATTAATTTTAATTTAAAAAATATGAATTTAAATTTTTTACCTATGTGACTTTACCGAAAAAACCTAAGAATATATTATATCTATTATTGCGCCACCCTCCCCCCCCCCAAAAAAAAATACAAAAATCTATTTTTATACTTTTCGCATTGTGTTCAGTCTGGAAGCTACCCACATTCCAAATTTCAAGTTTGTTGCATGTTGGGAAGTATGCTAAACATTTCGAACATATACACATATTGACAATTTTCTCTTTTATATATATAGATATGGGTCCTAGTTTCGAAGCAAAAATATATAATCCATAACACAAAGTAATCATTATCGAAGAAAGTTATTCTTAGATTAGTGCTGTATGGAGGCTGTACTAATTTATTGTAGATGTATGTTGAACTTCTTTCACACCGTACGTAGTCAACCATGCAAATCGGAGGTCTCTTATTTTGTTCAGGTATTCTGTAGCTCTGCTGTAAATAATGTTCTACTCAGCTTTCACAACCTTGTGCAACTTCTACTTGACTTCCTCATGAAGAGTGGCTTTATTGCTTAATCCATCTTCAGTCGACTATGACTGGACTTTTCAGAAATATAAATGGCATTTAACAGTCAGCTAATTGACATGTCCAGTTATTTATATATACTGTTTTGAAATAAACATGCCTGCCAAATGCATTGCAACGTTCTCATATCTACACAACATTTGGTGCTTGATTTCGCAGTGCTCGTCGCACATCAATCTAAGCGGAATATTTCAAATCTCAGAGCAGGCTTGCGGTGAGGACTTTTATTCAGCGGTTAATAGATCATGACCGATGTTGACGCTGATGATTGTCAACAAATGGTGAGGCGACACACACGCGCATGTGTGTGTTTGTGTGCTTGTTTTTCTGCGTGGAACGGCCGTGTAGCGGTTAGCGCGCTGCGCTACGAACCCGGCGACCCGAGTTCGATTCCCGCTCACGACCAACACCAGTGACGATTATCTAATTCGGTCGTGGGCCTCCCCCCTAGGTCGACTCAGTCTCCATTGAGTACGTGGTGCGGTGTATAAACGTCGCCACTGTGGAGAAGAAGGCCACAGCGCCGGCCTCCATAGGCACTACTCCCGAACGACACTTGCTCCAGACACTCTGTTAAAAGGCTATACGGGGGGGGACATTTCTCCCGGCTTCTCTCCCGCGTCGCAGGTGCGCGAGTCCGGCGGGGAGGAGTGGATCCTGGACGCGTCGGAGCGCCCCGTGCGTCGCATGATGCTGTGGCCACGCTCCGCCCTCCGCGAGTACGGGCGACGGGGCCCCGGCTCGACGGGACGCTCCCCGACCTCGCCGATGACGTCGCCGCCCCTGCTGCTCCCCGCGCAGCAGCCGCCGTCGTCGTCGTCACCGGCGCCGCCATCGCCGCCGACGTATTTTTCGGAGTCGCCGCTGCCGCCCTCTTCCGCCGCTGTCGCCGCGCGCGCTCTCGTCGTCTGACTACCGTTTCCTGCTGCGCGAGCAAAACGTGGACGGCTCGATCCAGTACGACAGCACGCACGCGTGGGTGCAGGTGAGCGGGGCGGCGTGCGCGATTGTGCGGGCGGCGGGCCGGGTGGGGGGAGGGCGTGCGCAGAGGCGGCGCTTGCGCCTCGCGCCCAAGAGTTGCCCCGGGTTGCGATTCCCGATTTTCGGTCCCCGTTCCGCGTGGTGTTTGTACGTACGTAGGTACGTACGTTGAACTTCTCTCGCACCCTACGTAGACAACAACCGCGCTTGTTGGAGGTGTGTTCTCCCCCCCACCCCCTCACCCCCCACCCTGTTCCGCATGGGTTTCCATCAGGTTATCTGGTTTCCTCTGATAAAAAATACAAAAAAACAATGGAAATTATTTTGGCCAAAACATCCCAATACTGAAAAACCTACCTGCAAATGACTCAATTTGGATTGCACACAGCAGTGACGTCGCCCCCCCCCCGCCTGCCAAAACTTAGCTGGCTCTTGTTGAGACTCGGTGAGGCTTTCCTGGGTCAACGAGCATAATGCTAATTGGCAGCGTCTACTTTACAGCTTGTAAAGTTGCAGTGAATAAAAGTACTTGCAGGCAAGGCTTGTTTTGATTGACTGAACTGCAATTGATCAACCTGTAAGTGATCTTTATTCGTACTGAAAGTACAGTAAAATATGAACAGAATACAGTTGTGAAGTACAACTACAAACTTGTGAGAAACTTACACAGGTATCCCTCTATTTACTGACCGTTCGTTTCTTACGACATCCCGCGCCAACTGCAATTGACAAATTGTGGGCGCTTTTCGATGGACGAAATAAAATTTCCGCGTGGACAAAGTTTCACGGACGGCACGCGCCACGAAATCGTCAAACAAGAAGCCACCCGGAAGGCTGCGTCATCCATCCGCGAGAGTGTTTCGGTGTCCCTGCAGTGATGCCTCCACTGTCGCCTTTCCAGTCATTCCAATATTCGCAGATCTTTTGGTGAGTTCCATGAAATGATTATTTTTTTTCGTTTTAAATGTATTATTACTATTCAATCAAGAAAGCTAGCCTACTATGGTGATGTCATTAGAAAAATATGGATCTTGTTTGGAAAAGCAGATTATGCGAGGCACAATACCTGATTCACGTGCCCAAGGAAGACCAAGGATGACACGGATAGATAACGTCAAAGCATGGACGAGGCTCACGCTGGAACAGACGATGAGGATAGCAGAAAACAGAAGTCGGTGGTGAAGGATTTCCTTGGTGCGGCCAACCCTCGGATCGAGGATGGCTGAAGACAAGACATTCTAATATTTATGTTCTTTATATATTTTTTGTATTCTGAATAGTGATATAGGTGTGTGTATTTTTAGATTGTGAGGACAGTTGGAATGACTATCCCACGGGAAAAGCCATTCGGATTCAGGAAATGCCGTTTTTGCGTGTGTTCTTTTGAAGAACTCATCCCTTTTGGTAAATCGAGGGTTATCTGTGTTGCGATAATCGTCATATCGGGCAATCGGTATCGTATCATACGGTGGAATATGACGCCGCGGCTTGCCGATGTATGTAACGACCACGAGGCACATTGGCGTGTCGCTGTGTCGGTGATGCTAAAAAATAATACGTAAATACAATTCCACGATGCCTCGTGTTTTGACGGGCCCATGAACGTTCAGCCCTGGTCGGGGGGGGGGCGGTCGCCTCGGTAGGCAATACCTGGATGAGGTGCGAGGTTCACGTCGACGGTAGGTCTCGGGCTCCTCGGACACCTCGACCACCAAGGTTCGCTTCTCGATTTAAAATAAACACGTTCCTCGTCGGGCTGCCCGTAAAAAGACTTCCCTCGGCTGAAAAGTCAGCAAAGAACCCCCCACTCGCTGTGAATGTCAGAATCAGAATATTTATATATACTGGAGGAATCCGATGAGCTATGAAGCTCTTTTTTCACAGACGTCCAGTCGCGGTGGGTAAGAACATTACAACAACAAACAATACAAACACATGATAGGAGTGCAAAGAAAGGTAAACAAATCGCCCAAACACAAACAAATAAACCATCCCCATCCTACCAGACACAAATCCCACTGAGATATGAACTTATTTTTCATAACCAACCTGGCCGCAAATGATAGCTCAACAAAGTGGCCCATGATTTGGACATTTCTAGTTGCAAAATCATCTAAATAGTTTAAAAGTGTGAGCGTGGAGCATCGTGCCACTTGGCCTGAGCCAAATGCCGACCGCTGCTCTGACGAAAAGCCATCCTGGATAACTTCATACGTAGGTTTTCACGGCCAATGCCTTGATTTAAGAATTGGTTTATTTTGGGTGAGGTTGCGTAGGTTTAATTGCAATGTTTTATGTGAGAGACGAGCTTTTGTGAACACCTGATTATGCTGGATGTAATGCCCAGCGAAACGTCGTACAACATTGTTAAAATGTTGCTTTTCAACATTCTGATTTGCTGAAAAACCAAATCATTTGCAATATTTTTCCACGTCACAGCATGATGGTATTGGTTCCGTCCTGTGGTGGAGGGTTGTAGTACTTTTTGTTTTACATTATACCTTCACAATCTGACCCAAAATAAACTAACTATGAATCGGCGGTCCTGGAATCGGCCGAGTTGGGTGGTCGAGGTCGGGGTCATTTGAACGTCGGGGTCATACGAGGCAGCGTCGACATCGATGTCAACCTACGTCACCCGGCTCCACGCGAGCGGTGTCGCGCGTGCAGGCCCTGCGGTATCACCGGCGTTTGGGAGTTAACGCGATCTGTATTGCGGGAGATCGCTCTTTCTCATTCGTACTCGGGGCCCATCGAGCGCGGCACATTTGTGGTGCCACCCCGTATATTATGTTGGCTGTGGCCGCCCATCCCTTCTCATCCCGCCATCGCTGTTGCCACATGAAGCAACTTTTGCCGAGGCCTAGATTGTATCGATTGTTATACTAATGACTAAGCCTGAATGTTTTGCGCATTTCCCTCCCGGGAGGCAAGATTGATCTATTATTCATACCCGAGACAGGTTTCTGAAAATTTTGATTGTCATTTCTGGGGGTGAAATGTTTGGGTCCAGGTACACATGCTAATTTGACGCGATAACGCAGAGGTAGACTAAGATGCATAGGTTTCAGTGTTATTGCCTGAGCCCTAAAGAGCCAGACTTAGGCTCTTTCACATTATTAGGTTGCATATCAGCCAGTGTCAAAGGGGTGTCACTGCTGCGAGAAGCCACGTAGTTTATTTGTAAAAAGAGAAATGTCCGTATGTAAAAGGAAACAAAATTCGCTGAAAATGTTGACAATCAAGAGGCGAAAACGGAACTATGCAGGGAGATGTAGCCTGACAGGCAGACCGAGATCATGGGATGGACAGCAAGTTACTGGAAACGGAGGGAAGGAAATGATAGCGAGAGGAAGAACAAAGATTTGTTTTAGAGATGAGGAGATAAAGGGATTGGCAAGAGTGCAAGTGGCCAGGGGGTGAGGATGATTGAGCCAAGTGTCATCGGAAAAGAGGCGCTCATCCTTATTTTAAGAATTTTAGGAATGCTGATAAATTGTGTCTGATTATGCTGCTGAGATGTTGGCTCATGCACTTGTTTTTTTATCGGTTAGACCACTGTAACTCTTTGTTTGCTGGTCTTGGTGTGGTCTTTGATTGTTGATGTTGTTTTGCTGCCTTGGCCAAGCTTGCATTTGGTCTTTACAAATCTGCAGGAATTTATGAAACGAGCGAAATTAGTCCTTCCATAAATTTTTATTTAAAGCTTTCTTGACTGCAGGGATTCATATTTTTGGTTCTTTCGGTAAAGTCACGTAGAAGGGAAATAATAATAAGAACCAAGAATATAGTACTTCCATACTTGAAAGCTATTTATTTATTTATTTATGTACTCAGGACTTGCTTAACTTTTCTCTATCCTCTTGCATCCTTTATTTTTAGTTCTTGTTGTTTTAACTTGCTAATCTCATGCCCCTTACTGGACATTTGTGAAAAAGGGCTTCATAGCCCATCGGATTTCTCCAGAATAAATACAGATTCTGAATACACTATGTCGGTTACGCCTGGTACCAAATTCCGCAGCCGGTGCTTACTTGCACACGTTTAGCTCGCAGCGCATTACACTCCGGCGCCTTAAATCGCCGCACTGTCCTTCTGTAAACATTCCGGGTAGATTTTCAATTTCTGCTAACCGCTTAATATGGCCCAACACTGACCATCTTGGGGCTTCGATATATATTCACAGGGCGAACTGTGAAACACCCTATGCTCCGGGTCGTCGCTGATATTATAGCAGATTATATTGCGTTATCCTGCAATGGGCCAAGAGTCGCTGGTTACCGATATAAATATTTGTACTTGGTTATGCATGGCACATGACAGCTTATTTTTAGTTGCATTTTTTGGTCTCCCAAGTTTCGCCCGAGGATGTTGCCTATTGCACGGAAACAAATTGCAGTGAAATTTATTTCTTGAGAAAACTAATTTTAGAACGTGTAGCGGACAAAACGTTATAATGCAGCTTTATGTGTAGCGAACAAAAAGTTACCATGCAGCTTTATTTGTGACGACACGAAAGAGCCCCTTAGAATTTAGCTTCTCCGAACTCAATCTTTTCGAATTATTTTGAAAGTTGTGCAACATCCGTTGTTAAACATTGCAAATCTTTTACTTCTGTTTTTAAAATCAGTTGCTCGTCCGTTAAAGTCTTACAGTCAATAAATCATGACTCATTGCGTTTAGATGAGAGTATTTTGCTGCTATAATTTTCCACATGATAAGCCACTTCGTTGAGCTATCATTTGTGGCCAGGTTGCTTCTGAAAAAGAAGATAATATCTCAGGGAGCTTTACCTGGTAAGATAAACATAGTTTTGTTGTTTTTCTATATCGTTTTTAAAAGTGATTTTGTTAACCTTTACCATACTGTGCACTTCAATTGTGTTTTTTATTTTGTGAATTTTTGGGACTTTCTGACACCGTGCCCCGACTGGACATGTGTGAAAAAAAGCTTTAAAGCTCCTCGGATTCCTCCTCCAGTATAAATACATATTCTGATTCTGATGCCTTTATACACTAAACACTGCAGGCCCTGACGCCTGACTTTCTCACCCTCCCCTCTTGCCGAGACGGTCCAACCCAGTGAGTTGACCCTAAACGGTTAGGGTATCTAGGTAAGAAAATTCGGCTGACATGGGCTACGAATAAAAAAAAATACTCTTGCGGCCACGGATAGATTATGTCTTTAAAAAAGGGAAATACGTGAAAAGTAATGCTGTCGCGGGCGCGTGCTAATTATTGGTCGAGTTTCGATTCAGGATTTAATTCAAGGATCAATTATTGTTTAGCTTGTTTGTGCCGTCATTTGCATTGTCTGTCTTCAGCTTAAAGCAAATTACGCTGAGTGCGCCCAATCCGATCAGATCCAATAAGCTAAGCAGAGTTGGATGGGCGATCATCAGCAGAGAAGCAATGCAGCGACATCCATTGTTGTACTTAATCGTGCGCTCTCATCTGGGCTCCACTCGACTTCACCAACCCCACACTCACCGGTTTGGTGAAGCAGGGTCAAACAACTCCCACGATCTGCACAACGTGTGGAGGGCCTGCGTAACGAGTGGGCCGTACACGTACATGCGTTTGTAAACATTTATTCTTGCACGCACACGCAAACACGCAAGTCAGTGCCTGTATTGTGAGCATAACAATCAATCTTCAGTCGATGAACAGGTAAAGGATCCGTTAGTTTCCTTTACATGTGCAAAACATCTGCACATGTTCGCGTGGGTAGGTGACACGGCCGAGCGAGAGAGCGTTCGTCGCTTGTTGTGGAGGGGCACGGTTCAAGTTGGGCAGGCAGCCCTGGTCAATACTGTGGTTGCGTCAACCATGAAATGCGTTCCACAATGTGTCCGTTACACCTCTGTGGGTCGCGGGTTGTCCGACACAACTTTGAAACTTCGTTCATGAGAAGAGGAAAAAAACAAGAGACTTTAAAGTCACATGACTTCCTTCGTCAAATAACATGTATCATAATGAAATGGACGTCAAGACTGCTCGACTGACCCACTTAATTGTAACTTTAGAGTCTTTTTTTAATTGTTCACGTAGCTTCAATCTTGTGCCTACACAGCCTTAAGTACGTGTCCGCAAGACAAAATAAATACATGAACGTGGCCTAATAGTTTATCAAACGTTAATTTTATATCTTTCGATACTTAAACGTCCAAAAACAAAAGATAGCCACAAGGTCAACCGGTGAACCCGTGCCCTCGGCCATGTGGCCCTGCTAGCGGAGGAAATCTCGCGCTCGCCTTGTCGTTACTGGACATAATAAATCATAATCTTTTCACCGAGTGGAGGAATGATTTTGGTAAACGCACGGTGACCCACCTCCCTCCTTTCCCGCAGAGGGCAAGGAAGGAGCGGCAGATGGTGGCGCGCGGGTTCCTGCCGCAACGCTACCAGGACGGCGACCTCGACGACCTGTGCTGCCTGCCGGAGCTCAGCGAGGCGGCCATCCTGAGCGCGTTGCGGGCTCGCTACGGCCGGGGACGCATCTACACTTACGCGGGCAGCATCCTCGTGGCCATAAACCCCTTCCGCTTCCTGCCCATCTACAACCCGCGCTTCGTGCAGGTGAGTGTGCCGCCCCTCGCAGCAGATGAACCGCTGCCGCTATAACCGCCGGTTGAACTATCTCTAAAATCCATCTGGATAAGGGGAAAATGATCTGTCGTGCCCACACCCCCCTCCCTCACCAAATACGTCTTCGTTTTAGAAACGACGCAGGCATGCTGCCGTGGTGTGACACACAAAAGCAAAGATCCCCCGTATAACCTTAACCGACTGTTGGGGCAAGTGCTGTTAGCGAGCACTTTTGAAGGCCGGCACGGCATTCGAGGTGGTGGGGGGGGGGCAACACCACGCCCGGCTGCCTTTGTCTCTCCAGCGGCAACACACCGCACCAGGTACTCATTTGAGGCTGAGTCGACCTAGGAGCGGCCCATGACCAGTTCAGATAATCATCACTCGTGTTGGCCATGAGCGGGAATTGACCTCGGGTCGCCGGGTTCGAAGCACAGTGCACTAACCGCTACACCACCGCACACCACGTCCAGTACACTCGACTTCAAATCCAGAGCGGGAATCTATTCAAATTAAGTACAAATCCAAATGCAATGTGTTGATATTTTCTTGGTAGATATCGGTGACCAGCCATGCTGCCTGCTGTGGTATCGTGATTAGCCCACTGGAGTTTGGAGGTCTCTGGTTTGGCCTCAGTGGTTCATGTTTCATAACACAAGCCCTCGCTACCCCCCCCCCCCACTGCCTCTGTCCCAGAGGTCGCAAACGGGTTTTGATTCCTTACCCGTACCCGGCCGCACCAGGGTCGCAAACGGGTACCCGTACCCTACCCGATACCCGGCTACCCGTACCCGGCCGGGTATCGGGTAGGGTACGGGTATCGGGTACCCGATTGCGACCTCTGCCTCTATCCACCTAGCAGCGTAAATGTATTCGTCGTAATCGATCGACAAGTCGGGGTGTGGTGGATTAAAGTATTGTTGCTGCCACCTCTCCTGAAACCTCTGGCTTGCATGGAAGGATGGGAAAAATACCCTTGAGAGCGGGAGGCTCTCTTCTGCGTTCCCTCGAGGGGAGGCCCTTCCGTCTGCAGTGGCATGAGCAAGACGTTTCATGGCTGCACCTTTACCTTTAGCCTGTCATGCTAGTTAAAATAATTGGCAAGTTACTTTTTGCTCAAAGGAGCTTGGGGTAGCGCTCATTTGCCGCACCTCCGATTAGCACGGCTGGCTACGTACGCTACTAAAAAAGTTCAACATATACACATACATACATCTCTGTTGGTGGTCCGGAGCCGGTTGGTGGAAATTCCACATTCCTACGCCGGGTTCCATCAAACTCTTTAAGAGCGCGGCCACTTTAGACCGACTACCAACAGAGTAGCGCTCATTTTCCCGACTGCTGTGGGGTAATTTAGATGGTCTGCTTCTCTTTTACCGCCTCTGCCCCGCGAACGCTCCGGCTGAAACCCGACCCGGACGTCGCAGCTGTACGATGGGCGGCGGCTGGGGGAGCTGGAGCCGCACATCTTCGCGGTGGCGGACGCGGCGTACCACGCGATGCTGCGTGAGAGGGTCCACCAGTGCCTCGTCATCTCCGGGGAGAGCGGCTCGGGCAAGACGCAGAGCACCAACTTCCTGATCCACCACCTGACGGCGTTGAGCCAGCGCGGCTACACGAGCGGGGTCGAGCGGACCATCCTGGGAGCCGGGCCCGTCCTCGAGGTGGGTCGGCGGCGGTCGTCTTGTGCTGGAACGTCGTTCTCGGGGGGGGGTGGGGGTGGGGGGCTGCCGTGGGCAGGCGGCGAGATGTTAACTCCCTCGCCTGGTATGCAGGGAGGTCGTGGGTTCGATCCTGACCCTGGTTCCTGTGTATTTGGAGTTTGCGTGGTTCGCCTGGTTTTTTCCTCCATATTTACAGAAATGCGTTTCGAGTGTTTGCCTGCTGGAAATTTCCAGATGAGAAGCCCACTTCTTTGAGCCGTCATTTGTGGCCAGGTGACTTCTGAAAAAGAGCTAATAGCTCAGTGGGATTTACCTGGTAAATAAATAGTTTAGTTTAGTTTCTGAATAATTTTTTCCATTATTATGATATTTTTATGATTATTTTGGTTATAAAAACATCTTTATAGGATTATGGGAATATAGGTTACAGCGAAATTGGATTATTACGGATAGGCGTAACTTGTACTCTCGTGGAAGTGCATTACCCCAATAATCCCTACCCCAAGCCAGCCGGTAATCCAGCCCACAACACCACCGCCACTACAACTGCATTCATCATCCCTGCATACTGATGTATGACACTTGCATGATGGACTTTTTTTCATGGCTGTCCGTTGATATGGCGCTGCTTAAACTCTCAGCGCTAATGCCGCGGACTTCCCCTCGTATCCGCACGTCCAGAGAGTTTCACAATTCACAGAGCACCAGCGACAGTCTCATAAAATGTGCGGGCCACTCTTTGGCCGAACAGGAAGAGATGGGATTTTGAACAGAACACATGGGTGTGTGTGTGTGGGGCTGACAAATCTGGGCGGCCCCCCCACTCGTTGACCAGTGCAGCATTAGTCATTGCAGCTGTGGCAGAATTTCATTTCAAAGGCAGTTTTTCTTCTTCTTCTTTTCCAAATGGGCCAAAAATGTTGGAATGTAACATTTGAAGATTTATTGAGAAGGCAGTGACTTCTTAAGAATACCGCATGGAGTGTGTGTGGGGACGGCTCGTGTTTTAGAGCGAGCGGCTCGCAATTTAAAGGTCGTGGGTTCAAATCCCAGATGAAGGTCGGGGGGGGGGGGGGGGGAGACGTGGGTGCGGTGGAGGCGGGAGGGAAAGGGGGGGAGTTCACTCGGACCCATCATCAATCTCAGGTTGATAAAATAAGAACCGCCTCGTGGAAAGTCAACGTTAGCTGCCTCTTATTGAACGTAAAAATTATGGAATTTCCACAATTGGCTCAGGGCTATGAATAAGGAGATTAGTGCAGCCCCAATCAATGCCTGCATGAGCAGAAAGCCGCAAGTCTGAAACTTTTGAGACTATGCCATTCGCTGCGATCCGTCCACTCTGCACACAAGCTGATCTCGTCGCTCCATCTCCACGGAGGACGCCCTTTCGTACACGCATGTTTAGAAACGTGCGTTTTAGAATATTTGGCTGTTGCTATAATTTTCAGCAGCCAGGTCGCTTCTGAAAAAGAGCTACGTAGCTCAGTGGGGCCTTACCTGGTAGAATAAAAACTTAAATTATAAAAAAAAACTTCATCGTTAGTTTTGACCACCTTTGAGGATTACGCGCACAAGAAAAAACATTTTATCTATTTAGCTTTCCGCCCGTAAATGCTGCAATTTTGTTGTTGTTGCAAAGCTGTTCACATTTTTTGGGCCTTTTTTTACGGATTTCCTATCCAATTATGACATCAAATTTTTAAAGAGTTAAACTTAACCTGTTGATTTCATACGAGCGCAAGATTGAAGGGACCAAAATGTCAGTTGCTTTTTGTTTCTGCACATAAGCTGATGACGGTTTGCATTTGCAGCTTATCAAGGTGGATGAATCCAAATGACGTCCGATTAAAAAAAACACAACAGCCAAACACGTTTAAATTTTGGTCTCCCACGATTTAAGTAGGCAAACATTTTAACCTTTAATTCTTGTATCTCACCACGTTAATGTTTGTATCTAGAGGTTTTGAAGGGCACAGAATTTGAACACCCAATAACTGGGTTTTCTCGAGTGTTTTGTGGAAGAGTGACACTGACGCTGATATAATTCTGGCAAGTACCACTGCACCTTGTATGAGTACAGTCATGTTGTCCAAGCAACACGTTTCATTCACCATTGAACTCTTGACCGAGAGAATCGTGGTTTCAATGTGAATCGCATGCAGTATCATTCCATCTCCTGGTTGGAATCACGTTAGAAGGATGAGCACTGTTGGCTACGTACGGTGCGGTGCGAAAGAAGTTCTGATGATGGACGCTTGTGATTTATTTTATTTTATACCTACGTGACTTTACCGAAAGAACCACAGAGTATAAAGTTCAACATACATACATACATTATAAAATGTAGCATTTACTCCGTAGGTAAACACACACAGTTTGCAAACTCGCATACGTTGATATAACTCGACTGATGGAAATTTTAATCTTTGAGACAACAGTGAGTGAGGCTCGGAGTTGGACAATTGCCCATAGTCATGGAGAATGTGTGGAATTACAGGCATGCACATCTAAACTTGTGTGCAAGGAGTCCCGTGAGATGCAGGAGATGAAGATGTGTTGTTGCCAATGATTCATGCGTACTTGCCACAAGACATTTGTGGAATTTTTTTTTTGCCAGCTCTGAGCAAATTTAATTCACGCACGTGGCTGCACTTAAGATTCACAGTGGCGGACGTGGATTGTAAAGTTGTGCAACAATGTAATCGGATTACTCGAGGCAGGTGCCAGTAATCCATACATATTCTTTGGGTCTTTCGGTAAAGTCACGTAGATAGGTTCAAAGAAAATAACAAAAACTACGACGTTTCGATCACAACACTAGCGGTCGTCATCAGGATAAGGGTTAGCTTCTAAAGGCAAACTCTTTATAAAGGTTTAAAATGGGCATAGCCCAAATGTCAGCAGCATGGGCGGGGCAGCTAATGCTAATGTAAGTGATGGGCAGCGACCGTGATGGCGGTGGGTTTCCACCAATTAAAGGGCTGCCAGGTAAAAAATTAGCATGTTGATGTAAGATCGGTGAGCGGCCTCCACGGCGAGCGCGCGGAGGTGGCTATGTGAATGTGAGAGATTAGCATGTTAATGTGAGAGATTAGCATGTTAATGTAATATTGCAGAGCCACCGCGACGTTGAGGTCGGAGCACGAAGGTGGCTGTGTTGGTGTGAGATATTTAACCTGTTAATGTAAAATCGGAGAGTCGAAAATAACAACTAGCATCAGAAGGTGGTAGGATGGGAAAAACACAGCCAGTTATGACTTAAACTGGTTAATAACGTCCTTCCAATGATTGCTAAGTTTGTACCCATCTTCTCGGTTGAATTTGTGTCTGTGTCTTTATATAGGGATGGCTTCATGGACGAATCTTTGTTGATAGCCAGTGGGTTTGCAAAGTACCTTTGTCTTAGAGAAATCAATTTCGTGTGAGCCCACCGCATTAAAACGAATTTGAAATTGTAGATGTTGCTCTGCACCTACACCGTCATCAGCTAGCCGTACGACAAGAAGAAGACTGTTGTTGCTGTTTTCAGTCGAGTACGGTTAGCTCCAGGGGTTCATAAAGTCGTGAAGCTGTCACCCCTGACTCGATTCCGGGTTTTGGCCGCTTTATGATTCAACTTGGTTCTCCAAACTTAGCAAGCTGATGGTCTGAGTTCGGTCACTAATAATTTGATTTATTGGCTGAATTTCTGTAAACTGATGGATGCGGTGGTTCGCATTGTGAACCCAGCTACATGAAGTTTGATTCCTAGCCACGGCTAACATTAGTGGCGAGTGCCCCCCACCCCATCCTCCAACCCCCACTCAATAGAATGGTCAAGTATGGTGATAAACCCCCTTTGACTGACATGACACGGAAAAGGGGCTTTATGCACCAATGCATTGACAAATGGCTAAACGTAATATTATTACTTTAATTGTTTCCCGTAAGTACTGGGGAAAAGGGACGATGAGAGGTAATTACAAATTAGAGCCGTTCGAAGGAACACCGACAAGACGGACCCTGTCATCAGCACGGCACAAAGAGAGGTGACCTGCAGGGTAGTGGTTGAACACGGCGTAGAATTCCAGCACTCCGCAGCGCCGAGGGTGACGCAGTTCAGCGACTAACTGACCTCCAAATTTAACATCGAATTGTTGCTCGAGGTCAGCCATTTGAAAGCGTGTAACGAGACGGAACAGTGGGCCCGGTTCGATTCCTCCACTCGCGTTGTTGTTGTACTGTACTCGGTGGGAACGGTAACCGCGCTCGCTTGTGATAGCGAAGCGATAAGGAGGTGACGCCTTGCCATGTGACGAACACTGCTGTGCATGGTGGTGCATAAAGAAGAGCCCCACTACCTTTGGCAAGACTCCTGTTGAAGGAGAGCGGTGTGTGTGAACGAGAGGCTAGCGTGCTGCGCTACGAACCCAGGGACTCGAGTTCAATTCCCGCTCACGGCCTCCCCTAGGTTAGCTCGGCCTTTAATGAGTACCTGGTGCTGTGTGTAAACACCGCCACATGGCAGACTAAGGCAGGCCGGTCGTGGTGCTGGCCACCCCACACCAGAGGTCGCAAACGGGTTTTGATTCCTTACCCGTACCCGTACCCGGCCGCACCAGGGTCGCAAATGGGTACCCGTACCCGTACCCGGCCGGGTACGGATAGCCGTTCCCTACCCGTACCCTACCCGAAATGAGTGACAAACGGCTACTCACCAGTGACTCACGGCCTACCCGTACCCGGCCGCACCAGGGTCGCAAACGGCTACCCGTACCCGTACCCGGCCGGGTACGGGTATCGGGTACCCGGTTGCGACCTCTGCCCCACACCCCACCTTCGTGTGTGTCGTGCTGGCCTTTATAGGTGCCACTCGCTTAATAGGCTACATGGGGGTGCGGTGGGGGTCTTTGTCTTTGTGCCACGTTGCTTTCCAAAGCTGTTGCCTCATACCGGCGGTGTCGCAATTCTCACGTGCGGCCATAGCGCAGGGCGTTCGGGTGATCGCGTGCCGGCCGGCTGGCTGGTGGTGCCTGGAACTGGAGAGTGGCAGCGTTGTTATTTTATTATTATTGTTTTAAATAAAAAATAAAATAATTCCGCGGGCATCTGTTGCATTGTGATAACACGTCGTTGTAGGGAAGTGGTCGTCGGGTTCCAGATTTCTTACGCTTTCCTCATGGCCTGCTGCCCGCTTGTGGTTTCTCTTAAAGCGACCCTGGAGGCTTGTTCTATACGCACGTGTTCATGTGACACACTCCGCATCGTTCGTGCGTGCGTATACACGCACACGTTTAAGGTAGCGCGGTCAACGCCCGGCCCTTTTGTCAATCCACTGCTGGATTGAGGGCCTCCCGGCGATTCGCATGTGGATTTACGGTCAAACGTACATGTTTGACCGTACTTCACCGCGCTTTTCAGCGCAGGTTGCTGAAGGGTGCAAAGATGTGGGGGGAATAGAAGTACAGTACAACAACGGATTCTCCTGTACTATTGTCTCCTGCCCACCAGGAAGCCCGGCAAGCCCTGTGACAACCTGTTATGTGCAGAGCAGCACAAGCTGCTGCCCCCTTTACAAGATATAAGGGTCACCCATCCAGCCTGAGATAGCCCTCCATTGTGTCATTCCACTGCTGGATGAGGGCCTCCTGCACGCCGTGCGTGTCATGGTGGGGGGGGTGGGGGGGAGGGTTTACTTGAGCATACTTCGCCACGCCGGTTAGTGCAGATTGGTGAGTAGATGTGTAAGCATAGAAGTACAGGAAAGCATTTTGCAATGCTGCCATCCGCTGCCCACAACGTAACATGGCTCCGTCGCCACCTACGACAGTTTGGCGTGCATGGTGGTCGCCCATCCAAGTGTTCTTCACTGAGTGCACACATTTGACTTGGAGGCAACAAGTTTATTACACAGCCCCAACAGGGCCAACTACATAAACCGACACGTTATCTAGACCCCAACAGGGTAACTACATAACCGGGTCGGTCGGTAACATCCTGACTGACCCACGATGTCGAGTGGAGACCGAAGATCGGAGAGACGTAGCGCCGAGGGTTGATTCCAGAGAACAGCCCCGATCCTTCCTGAAGGCTCCGGCCCCTACATCACGTGTCCCTCTCTCGCCCTTTTGGGCTCCCCTTGCTACCTCGTCAGGTCACGTGCCCTCTCTGGGTCACCCAGACTGTCACTGCCACCAGGTCTATGCCCCCTAGGGCTCGCTTCCACGGCATACCCACTGGTGCCCGAGAGAGGCCCAAGACACACAGATCCACTCTTGTGACGGGAGCTGGCGCTAAGCGCCATAGTGACCTCATTCATGTCACTACACAAGTATTATCCAGGCTCAACCCCTGCTTAGATCTTATTTTCCTTATTCATAAGCAAGGTTGGCAATCGTGATGGCTTAACGTAAGGCACTAGTACCCAGGCGTTTACATTGCTTCGATTATTTGGCTGCTATGCATTTCCACATGATAAGCCACGTCGTTGAGCTATCATTTGTGGCCAGGTCGCTTCTGAAAAAGAAGCTAATAGCTCAGTGGGCCTTAGGTGGTAAAATAAAAATAGTTTAGTTTTTTTTTGCTTATCTTTCCTATACTTTGAACTCCTATCGTGTTTTTATATTATAACTTCCTGACTCTGACTAGAAATCTGTGAGAGAAAAAACAAACCTTTTATAGCTCATTGGATTCCTCCTGCAGTATAAATAAAGATTCCGATTCTCATTCTCGACTCGCTCGCTACACTTGGGAACCCGGGCGTGACCACGGTTGGGCCGCTGAAACCGATTCAAACCCAGGATCTCAGCGGCGACCGCTCGGTGTCTCCGACGCGGTCACCATCCCTCTGAGCCAGCCGGCCACACATCGACACCAAAATCACCGACTCCACGCTCGTAAACACACAGGACGCTTACGACCCCTGTGTGTGGTGGACTGTGAAAGTGAAATCCAGCCCCCCCCCATCACCCAATCATGATCATCATCGCTTGCCGTAATTCCGCCCCCCCCCCCCCCCCCGAGCTCATATTTCGGCTGCCCCACTTCACACTCTTGTTTGCTCTTGCCAGGCCCGGATACTGACACTTGAAATGTTACTGTAGTGCTTGTACGATCGGCCATAGATACACGTGCCTCTTCCTACGGTCATAATGGGGTGCGACGGGTAGGTCCGTCGATTGTAAGTGTATTTCAAGTAACTTGCAGACGTTCACCAGCAAGTCACTGTTGGATGAAGGCCCTCCCCATTTGCCATGGCAGTACGTGGGGTTTTGTTTAGAATCAGCATTGCGCGTTTAGAGTATTTGGCGGCTTTAAATGTCCACATGATAAGCCACTTCGTTGAACTATAATTTGTGGCCAGGTCGCTTCTGAAAAAGAGCTATATAGCTCGGTGGGCCTTACCTGGTAAAATAAAAATATCTTCTTGGTTCTTTCGGTAAAGTCACGTAGAATGGAAATAATAAAATAATAAAAATAAAACATAATAAAATAATTCTCACGACGTTTCGGCCACAACGCAAGCAGCCGTCCTCAGGTGAAGAACAGGTCTGTCGGGAAGACGCTGTCTTTATTTTATTATGTTTTATTTTTATTATTTTATTATTTCCATTCTACGTGACTTTACCGAAAGAACCAAGAAGATGAATCCCTGCAGTCACGATAGCTTTAAATCTAAAAATAAAAATAGTTCAGTTTTTAGTTTACTGTACGGTTGAAGGAGAGAAGGGCAAGACCAGTTCACATTTCACTCGCCACTGATGTTAGCCGTGGCTGGGAGTTGAAACTCGGTGCGCTAACCGCGATGCCACCACTCTGGCATGGTGCTTAATAGAATGCAATCGATATTCATGCTCGTGATACATGCGTTTGATCGCTCCTGTTGGAATTGATTGTTTACAGTTAATGGGAATTATGTGGGAGGGAGTGAGGCTGAAGTGGCACTGTGCTGTGAATCGGGCGACCTTTGTTCAATCCCCGGCCACTGCTAACATCAGTGGCGAGTGACATCTGAACTGCTGGTCCTGACCGTCTCCCGCTCCTTCACTAACCTGTGCCGACAAGCGTGCTTAAGCATGGTCGAACAACCTCCGCAACTAACACAGCGTGGTGGGGGGGAAGGCCTTCATCCAGCAGTGGATTGGCAAAGGCCTGTGTATATCTGCATTCGAATCGTACAATGTTACCTTGAAAATAATGGAGCAAACTAAATTAGAAAGATAGAAATTAGCCGACAAATAAAAAAAAATGAGAGTCGGTAAAAATGGAACGAGAAAGAATTTAATTTCGATTTAAAGCTTTTGTGACTGCAGGGATTCATCTTCTTGGTTCTTTCGGTAAAGTCACGTAGAATGGAAATAACAAAATATATTATTATATTATTTTATTTTGTTATTTTGTTATTTCCATTCTACGTGACTTTACCGAAAGAACCAAGAAGAGAAAGAATTGGTTCTTGAATCAAAGTGCAACCCCTGAATCCTGACAATTTTTCGGAAACTCGGGTGCAGTGTGAAAAACATTGACATTGGAAAGACAAAGGTGGCCAGGCGTGACGCTAACCACGCCCCACCCCCTCGTGTGCCGTGTCGCACTTAACCCTTTCCTGTTCTGCAAGTAGCACCCCCGAATCTCGGAACGCTCCAGCGGTTAGCGTTCATTTTATTTTTAGAGGCACATCGCCGTCGTTTCTAAAGACATTGCACTCACCGCCAGGGCCTGATTAAGATTTAGTAGGCCCCTGGGCTACAGGTACTGTGAGGCCCCCAGTAATGTTTTCAAAAGGAAAACAAAGTTAAAGAAAAAGAAAATTTATTTTTACAAGGCTAACAACAAATAAAATTCAGAATTCACAAATGAAATAACTTTTCACTTCATCTCTGGAGGCCCTCCAGCTGGCGGAGGCCCCTTGATCCGGCCCTGCTCATCGCAGAGAGCTGTCGTGATGCGGCCACACTCGATGATAGCTGCCACCCACCTGTGCCACACGCTGTCCTGCATGGCCTTTCCGTTCCGATGGCGTACACGTATGTCATCGGAATGGGAAAGCATTAATCGGCGCTCTCAAGCAGCATTTGTCCCCCTGCGGTCTCTGAGACTAACAGCGGTGAAGCTGTTGGGTGTGCAGGTGGTGCAACTGCACTGGGTCCCACGGACTTGGGTGGGGGGGTGGGGATTATGAATAGGTAGGGGAACCCCCCCCCCCATTTCACCATATCATTTCTTGCACCAGGGTCCATGCCAACCACACTAAACCATTGAAATCGGCGCGGCTGTGCCGTGCGGGTGTGTTTGTGTGCACTGATCACACAGGCGTTCGGGAACGCAAAGACCGCTCACAACGACAACTCCAGCCGCTTCGGAAAATTCATCCAAGTCAACTACAGAGAGAATGGAACCGTGCGCGGGTACGTTCCCCCGCCCACACCCCTCCCTCCTCCTCGCCCCCTCCTCCATCTGTCTAGTCGAGACAGTTGGGCTTGGATATTGAAATGTGTTTTGCGTGACCCCCCCTGCTAGAGCCGGCTACAGTCACCACAAATTCATCCACTTGTGACTCGAAACTCGACCGCCGAATCGCAGTCAATTCGTGGAATTGGCAGGGGGGGCGGGGGGGGGGTGGGGAGGTCGGTAGGGGGTGTGGGACCGGGGGAGGGTGTGGAATTTTCGATAGGCCTGTGCACAAAATGTAAACAGATATCACGTATGGCCTCGTTAAAAATTGTGGGCATTTACGAATGACAATTGTAAATGTTGTAGTGGGTTTCACTCTGCAACACACCGGGTGTGCTGAACTAGTAACCAATTGGCACGTTTTGTTTACGCGAAGAACCCCACTAATTGGCCGTGTCGGGCGGTGGCGGGTTTAAACGACGCATTTATACTTACGTGATCTAACCTAAAAAAAAAAACCTCTATTGCGAATGATGAACCTCGTTACTGTGCTGCATCGAACGAGCCCCACCAGGAGAGAGCCCTTGTGTAGTGAGTGCACCAGTCAACAGAGTGACATCTGCATAATGGGCCACACTCTAATGATGAGGTAGAAGTCGACACCAATCCAGGATTTCCCTACTGCAACGAATTCCGCTCCAAAAACATTGGTCCAGAAGACAAATATGCCTATGGGCCTAAACATATTTCCTTTTTTATTCTTGGCAATGAAGGGCACACACCCACACACACCCATTTATTAATTTATTTTGCTATACAACAATAATTGGTTGCGGGGTGGTAGCCCATCACCTTAGCGGATTGCACTTTTAACCCTGCGACATGAGTTCAATTCCCGGCACGGATAACCTCTGGTTAGCGGTATCTTAACCAGTCTTGAGGCCCCCTCACCTTCACCAATCCACTCTGGTTAGCTTCGTAAAGCATAGCCAAACTGTTCCCAGCAGCATGCGGAGGCCTTCACCCATGAGTGGATTGACGCTGGGCTGTAAAAAAGATCCACATAAACGACATTAACCCCATTGGAACCTCATTTGCCAGTAAAAAATATGATAATTGGTTTTTTACCCTTCTATCTGGCAACAAAACTGACACCTTTTTTACAAGGAGTCATGTTTGCATAGACCACAATACCTGCAGTCATAATGCAAACAAAAAACATAACTCTGATAATGTATGCACTGTCCTTGAAGTTGATTGGTGCACACCCGAGACAGCTTTCCTTAAAGCCTAGTCTCACATGGGTTGGACCAGATGACGCCAAAAGGTGCACAACTCAAAGACAATGCACCATCAGAGTATGAGAGCTCAGGGTAAGCATTTACACCATTGGAACCTCATTTGCCAGTAGAAAATATGATAATTGTTTTTTTCCCCATCTATCTGGCAACAAAACTGACACCTTTTTTTAAATCTTTTTTTACAAAAAAGGTGTCAGTTTTGTTGCCAGATAGAAGGGTAAAAAAACAATAATGTCATTAACCCCGCCGCATTTGTCCTCGTCGATTCATCGATGCCCTCCGCAAATCGTACAATCGCCGTTGCTACGTAACGCGTCTGTCGCCGGGAAGGCGATCGACCTTTTCCGAGATCACGCCCGACGTTGTGGTGGTCTCCGGCGATTTTTCTCGCGTGACGAGCCCCCCCCAACCCCCCCTTCTTCTAAACGGTTCCTCTTGAGCGAGCCCCTCGGCGTGCGTCCTCCTGCCCCTCGCTCAGCTCCCTCCTAAGCGAGTTAGTGGCAATCGCAGCCAATTTGCCAGCTGGGACGTGGCGGTCGTTATCGAGTTAACTCGTGATTTATGGAATGTGTCTTGAGAGCGGCGGCTGAGGTAATGGATAAGGGTTAATTCAAGGTTATGAAAATGATAATTTACAACCCTCTTTTGTCAATCCACTGCTGGATTAAGGCTCCCTCCCCCCCCCCCACTCGATGCAAAGTCGGTCACAGGGTTTTGGCTGGCTGATCGGTGCGGTTTGGTGTTGGGGGACCAGCTCAGACTTCAGTCGCCACTGCCGTTAGCCGTGGCCCGGAATCAGATTCAGGCCACCGGGTTCATAGGGCAGCGCGCAAAACCGCTGCACCACCGCTCTCCCCAAGGCTATAACAAAAAAGAACGAGAATGTAAACGTAGATGTACAAAGACAAAGATCACCCGTATAGCATTCACAGACTGTAGGACCAAGTGCTGTTTGCGAGCAGCATCTATGTAGGCCGGCACGGCACACGAGGTGGTGGGTGGCCAGTACCATGCCCAGGCGCCTTTGTCTCCCAAGTGGTGGTCTTTACACATCGCACCGGGTACTTCTTTGAGGCTGAGTCGACCTAGGGGAGGCCCAGGATGAGTTCAGATAATCGTCACCGGTGTTATTGGCCGTGAGTGAGAATTGAACTCTGGTCACCGGATTCATAGTGCAGCGCGCTAACTGACACACGACCGCTCCCCACATGCACACACACACACTCAAACTCATAAAATATGAATAACAACAACTCGTGTAACCATGGGGCTAAGATGTTGCGCTGCTAATCTGAGTGTTGCTATCCACAAGACATGACAAATCCATACACACTGCCCATCAATATTCACAAACATGCGCAGAGCAAACCGCATGCATGCTAATACAGTTTAATGATCCTCCTGTGACCCTTAAGAGCTTGCCGGGTCAAGTGTGGTTAGCAAACCCTCTCTCTCTCTCTCAAGGGACAAATTACGTCAAGCGCATTTAAGCAGCTGGAGCCTCTAATTGAATTAAAACTGCCCCCCCTCGAAGCTAATGATTGGCAGAATGAATTCTGGGGGAAGTCTTGCAAACCCCCCTTTCCATGTGCTATAACCGCATTAGGTTTAATTGTTGTTGACAGAGTCTTGTATGGTCTGTCTGCACGACACAATGTGGATTTACAGGGCGGCTAAATACGAGCTGCGTATATCCCCCGAGACTGTGCAGATTACGGGGTGCACAGTTTCATCGTGGAGAGGAGCACTCCGTCATTGGCTCGCACCGTAGACTTTCACAGGAGGTCCGTAGACCTGCGTGAGAAAAACAGTTGCATTGAACCACACAGGGACCCGCACCTCTCATTAGCACGGTTGGATATGTATGGTGCGAAAGAAGTTATACATGCAGAAGTACGGCCCATAGACTTACATAGGAGACCACTATGCGTACGGTCTCATGGAAGGGTTTGTCGTTCAAACGCTGGTCTTGCTAAGTCACAAATACAACAACCATATTAAGATGCCGAAGGATTAACGACTCCCCATGCAAGACAAGTCATCGATGATGACCGAGAAGCTTAAACTGAAATAAAAACTACATACTCGATACAACAGCTGTGCTACCACTGCACCTCCAACCCCCCCCCCAATCCCCTCCGCCCCCCGCCCCCCCCCTAATTGTCGTTCGTTTTGCTTGTCCAATTTTCTTGGTGACAGAGCCATAATGGAGAAATACCTACTGGAAAAGTCACGCCTCGTGTCGCAGGAGAAGAACGAAAGGTTTGGCGGATCACGTTTGGCAGTGGATGTTGCCGCGGTGTAACGGTCTGCGCGACTGGGCTTGCATCGGGGAGGCCGCCGGATCGATCTCCCGGCGCAGCGTAATGAAAAGGATGGCGCGAGTTTTCTCGAATCCCAAATCCGCCTTTGTCCCACCCTGCGGTGGTCAGTGGGCGACGCCACCGTTAGTCGATCGACAGGTCTCGTGCGGTGGGCTAAAGTGTGGGTACTGCCGCCTCTTCCGAGAAGTCTGGCCAGCGTGGAAGAGTAGGCCAAATACCCGCTTAGAGAGCGGCTTTCTTAAGATGCTTCGAGTTGTTGGAGGTACCTTCCGTCAGCAGTGTCGTGAGTAAGACATTGCGCGGCTGCACCTTGAACATTTATATAGGTTTTAAAAGCTGAAATATTCGTCATTGTATCATTCATTGTGCCCCTGAGCCAGCGGTGGAAATTCTACATTCCCATGGCAGGGCCCAGTGTGTCCATGGATGACCATTGTTAACTTCCTGTAGTGGTGGTACTTGTTTTATCCGTGATGGTGATCTTAACGATGGGCTGAGTCGACTTCCTATTGGGATTTGAACTCGCATACTAATTGTGTGAGTAAAGCACTCTAGCCGCAGTGCCACTCACCTGGATAGCCTCGTATATGGACTTGGGGTTCCTCTAGGTCGACTCAGTCTAAAATTGTAGTGTGTAAACATCCGCACTGCGAAGGCGGCCGGGTGCGGTGCTGCCGGCCACCCACCAAAATCGTACACCGTGCCGGCCTTAATAGGTGCTCGCTAATAGCACTTGCCTCGGCAGTCTGTCAAAAGGCTATACGGGGGATGTTTGCATTCGTGTGCGTTGCATGTCCTGCACATTTAATGTGAATGTTGTTTGGTCCCCACTCATTCTCAGGAATTACCACGTGTTTTACTATCTGTTGGAGGGAACAACCGAGGAGGAGAGGGAATTCTTACACCTCCTGCCGCCTTCGCACTACAATTACCTCAACCAGGTAAGACACCTTGGTCTCGGCAAACGCAACCGTCGTCATCAGCGATTATCTATTCACCTCCTGCATACCAGGCCAGACGGTTGACATCTCGCGACCGTAGCGCCCGTCACATCTGATTGTTGAAGTTTGTTTTTGGTTATGTATAAGGCAAGCAGACTGTTCAGCATAAACTCATTCTTTGTAAGTGGGAAAAATATCTTGGCTGATACTTAGCTCCCTGTAACTGTGAAGTGAGGTCCTTGTTAATTGTAACGAGATGAGGTTGCATTTAGACGCTTGGAATTCCAACTGGTGGCCTGGTTCGGTGGCACGGCGGGCAGATCACGTGACTCGCAATCAGCACGTCGTGATTTTGAGTCCTTGCGAGGGATCAACTCGGTAGATCGCCGCTCTCCGATCTTACATTAACATGCTAATTTCTCACATTAACATCATCTGCCCCGCCCACTTCGTTTATTACCCAAGGACTACACCCTCTAAAAAACAGTCTGCAGTCAGCAGATTTCCTCCTCTTTCCTCCTGATGACGATCGCTTGTGTTGTGATCGAAACGTCGTAGCTTTTCGATATTTTCTTTGAACCATCTACGTGACTTTACCGAAAGACCCAAAAAGAACATTACAAAATAACTTCATCACCGCAGAGATTGTATCGGAATGCAACAGAGGTGAAATTGTATTAATCGACTCAGTCTCAATTGTGTATCTGGTGCGATGTATATAACATCACCACAAGGGAGACAAAGGCAGCCGGGCGAGGTGTTGGCCATCCACCCCCCACCTCCTCTGTCATGCCGGCCTTCATAGGTGCTCGTCAACAGGATTTGTGCAAACAGTCTGTTAAGGCTATATGGGGGATCTCTGTCTTCGTGTGTGTACACTCGTGTGTGTGTCCCATCATTTGTGTGTGTGTTGCCGCTTGTGTGTGTTTCCATATGTGTGTGTATGTGTGTCGTCATCCACATTAAGTCAATGAGAAAATCCATCTCTCAAGAGTGGGATTGCTCCGAGCCTCCAACAGAGGTCAGTTTTAATGTATGGAACCATTTCACACTCACTGTCATGTCATTTCTGTGTATGTATCTGTCCTCCAAACGATTGCGGGTTTTGAGAAAACGCAAGTCACGAATCTCCAGGTTTCTGTCGGCCGTCCTGAAGCAATGGTGGAAATTCCACATTCCTATGGAAGGGGATAGTCTTTCGTCAAAATGTGTCCACTGTTCTTGTGAGATGAATTGTCCATTCATCATATCTCTTGCAGAGCAGTGCAACCCTTTGAGTTAGAGAATGGCCCACAGAAGCTGATATCATAGAACTACATCTTAGATGCCTTCAAGTGGACTCTGTTCCGCACGGTAGGCGGAAGAACTTTCCTACCAACGCTGCCACTGACAGCATTACAATAAAGCCGATATGTTAAATTCTTCGAGCTGGAAATTACCAAACATAGTGCGAAACTCGATTTAATCTGATGGTTTTGGTTCATGCATCCATTGGTAACTGGGCTGAGACTATCAAATCACGACATTTCAGAACCCAATTTAATGACATGCGGCTTAAAACTGGATTCGAACTCAGAATTTCATTGGTGCCAGCACAGCGCTTTGTCCTTTGAGTCACTCGGCCACTTCTAAACTCGTGATTATAAGCTAAGTTTTCTAATCAAACCAACAATCGGGCAGACATTCAACTTTATTCCCCGTGTGCCAATATAGCCGCTCGTATCGTGATTCATCATGTTGAGCACAATCCAGCGTTGTCCTGTGGAATCGGATTCTGTCGTTAACCGGCCAATCACTATTGAAACGTATTCCTTGCTCGCTGCCATATCCCTATGCAATGTAAGCTCGCTGGTATTGGGCTTTGCTCTGAACAATCTAATGTAATTGTTGGACTACACAATGCACCTGCCTTCATCCTCAGACTGACATCAACCGAGTGGAGGGGGAAGACTTGAAGCACGACTTTGAGAGACTCAAGCTGGCAATGGAAATGGTCGGGTTCCTTCCCAAGACTCGCGTGCAGTGAGTGAACACAAAACCATCGCGCGGACCCCGGTCATCCTCGCAGGAGCGGCTTTTGGCTTGCCCTCGAACGAAGACGGTTGCCGTATCGCGCGCTTTCAGATGCGCTTCTGCGACCGTCTGAAACGCTCTTTTTCCAATGTTAGGAAGCCTCTGGAGCAAAGGCACTTTCAAATCTCGATATGACAAACTAATTTCTTTAGAACTGCTTTTTGTGTTTAGTTTGTTGTCCTTCCCCCGCTCTTCCGATTAGCACCATTGGCCACATACAGTGCGAAAGATGTTCAATATACTTAGATACATCAACTAGCCCTGTCTCTTGCCCGGACAATAGCTTTTACACTGGCTCATACCCTAAACCCAGCTCTAGTTATAACCCTCACCCTAGCTGTAACTCCAGCCCTGACCCTAACCCTTTTACCGATTCTAACCACGAATCTTAGCCCTGAAGTAAACATAGCCCTACCACTAGCCCTGATCCTACCTTTAACCAATGACGTTACCCTCACTCTAGTCTTGATTCTAATCCAACCACAGTCTTAACTGGAACCCTACCTCTAATGCCGGGCATAGTCCTAGTCCTATCCCTCACCTTGACTATGAGTCTAGACCTGGTTCTAACCCAAGCCTTAACTCTAGTCCTGACAATAACCCTATTCCTCGTCCTAACTAAGTCTAATCCAAGGCTGGCACTGACCCTAACTCCGAACTGTAACCCCAACACTCTCCTGAGTGTGTATGCACTTATAGGTTTGTTGGTGAGCGTGAGTGTGTCTTTATACGTGTGTGGGAAAGCGATGGCGCAGTGATTCCCATCCATATATAACATCGGCAACGAATGATATCAGTTTAATTAGTTTCAATCAATCTTGGTGCGGTGTGGAAACATCGGTGTTAGCCATACCACCCTGTCGTGCGGCATGCTGGCTTTCATAGTTGCTCTCGAAGAGCCCTTGTCACAACAGTCTGTGTAAGCTACACGGGGCGTCTTTGTCTTTGTGTGTGTAGGATTTTTACAGTCCTCTCTGCCGTCCTGAGTTTGGGAAACGTGTCGTTTCGCGGGAAGACGTGTCGGGATGACACGGTGGAGGTGGAATTGGGGAGCGCCATCTCCACTGTGTCCGAGCTGCTGCAGGTAACCACCGCACGCAGTCCGCACTCGGCATCGCCACGACTCGGATCAGCAACAACATCATTATTACAGCAACCACAACCACCATCATCATCACTACTACCAACAACATCATCATCACAACAAGCACAACCACCATCATCACGACCAACAACATCATCTTCACAACCACCAACACCGTTGTCATCACCACCACCATCGTGACCACCAACATCATCACCACCACCACCATCAACAAAATCACCACCTCCACCACTAACATTGCCGAATTCTGTCCCAGGCTTCATCAAATGTGGCTCTCGCCTCCTTTTTGTTTTGCAGTCGTTTTCAGCGCCACTAATCCGTGTGACCGTGACCGCGTGCGTGCGCGTGTTTGCCCACCGCTCGCAGGTCAAGGAGAGCTCTCTGATCGAAGCGCTGACCACTCGCAAGACGGTGGCGGTCGGGGAAAAGCTCATCGTCCCGTTCCGTCTGTGCGAGGTTTGTGTCAGAGATTGTGCTGCATTTTATTATTATTATTTTTTTGACCATAGGCCCCCTTTCGTTGTTGGAGGCTTTCTCTGGCTTGGAGGACACAATGTAACCGTGGGTAGCCACTCAGCCAAGTGGGCTTTGCCCCACAAGTACAACGGGGGACGGCATTAATCTCCTTTCGTGACCCTGGGCCAGGGGTGGAGATTCCACATTCCCGCAGCAGGGCCCATTCTATTCACACGGTCCTTCTGGAACGCTCGACTCACGTTTGTACTTGAGTCACAATTGGAAGGTTGCAAGGACAAATCCGGACTGGTGCGTCAAATTGTCTCTACGTTATCATCATCATGAGTAGCAGCAGCATCATCATTGCCATCATCATGAGAGATGGAACTATTTTCTTCCCTGGTATGTGTGAATACATTTCTGCGATTTTTTGAAAGGCGTCAACTCTTTACCTTTGTTTGCTGGCCGCTTGCCGTTTTTAGGCCTCGGGGTGCTCCGCAACCGTGAAGTGATAGGATAGAAAAAAAAACAACCCCTAGCAACAGGTTCATCTTTTTCCAGAAATCTTTGAAACGGATTCAGGGGGGAGACACTCCGACTTCCGTGGGCTGACGTAGGAACACGCGAGCGAATTTGTTTCATGCGGCGCTCTGTCCAGCAAGGGTCAGGCGTGCCGTTTTCTGCCGGACGCCGCGGCGATGGCAGCGACAGTGGCGCGCTTTGAAACCTCTGGGGGGGGGGTCGCCCCTTTAATGCCTGCCGTTTGAACGCGGGGGTGGAGTGGGGGGCCCTTTGAATTGAAGTGGCCATCAAAGTGGCTTTCGTGGCGGTGCCGTGAAATGTCACCGCTTGCCTCCCGCCGACCGTCACTTCCCCCCCTCCCCTCACGCTCGCCAGTCCACGTTCACCTTTACGTGAGAGCAGCTGGAAAATCCCAATCGTGACCGGCTAATAGGTGCTGCTGATAGTGGTAGTTCTAGTTGCAAGAATGGGAGGGATTCAGAAGTGTGAACTTCTTTCGCAACCCTGAGTAGCCAATCGTGCTAATCGGAGGTGCGAAGTTGTGTGTTCATCAGTGTCATCACTGTTGTTATCAGCAAGATCACTGGATCATCATAATCAGATGTGTTTTAGGGGTGTACAGCATGTTGTTTGGCATTATCTGATGTTTCACTCCAAAAGTCCCCAGTGGAATGTTGTATCTGAACCAGTCCTGGGCCTGTCCTAGATCAACTCCTACTTAAATGGGTGCCGAGTGCGGTGCGTATATATTGGGACTTGGTAAACAAGGGAACAAAGGCGGCCGGGTGTGGTGTTGGCCACACCACCACACCAAGTCGGCCCTAATAGGTGCTCGCTAACTAACAGCACTTGCCACAAAAGTTCGTGAAGGTTATTGGGAGATCTTTGTCGTTTGTGTGTGGAGTGGTAGTGCAGCGGGTAGCGTGCTGTGCTATAAACCCAGCGACCTGAGTTCAATTCCTATTCACGGCCAACACCAGTGACAATTATCTGAAACGGTCCGGAGCTGCCTCTAGGTCGACTCGGCCTCAAGTGAATGAGTGCCTGGAACAGTGTGGAAACAGCACTGGGCAGACACAGGCGGGTGGGCGTGGTCCAGTGACGATTATCTGAACCAGTCCTGGGTTTATCCGGAGGGTCAACTCAGCCTCAAATGAGAACCTTGTGTGATTTGTAATCATCGCCACTGGGGGGACAAAGGCGGGCGGTTGTGGTGCTGGCCACCCAACTCCTCTCGTTTGCCTTGGCCGCCATCAAAAGGTGCTCACCAACAGCACTTGCCCCAACAGTCTGTTGAGGCTATAACGGCGGGGCGGGGGGATCTTTGTCTTTGTGAAACCTGCAGGCCATCACGGCGAGGGACTCGATGGCCAAGTCGCTGTATGTGGCTCTGTTCGATTGGATCTTGTTGCGTATCAACCACGCGCTGCTCCACAAGCGAGACCTGGAGGAGAACGTGCAGGTGAGCTTGGTCATCATCATCGTCATCCACATTATAAGTATTCTTTGGGTCTTTCGGTGAAGCCACGTAGATATTAAAAAAAAAAAAAAAAAAAATAATAACAATATCACGACGTTTCGATCGCAACACAAGCAGTCGTCATCATTTTTTCACCTGATGATGATTGCTTGTGTTGCGATCGAAACGTCGTGATATTGTTATTATTTGTATAATTTTTTCTATCTACGTGGCTTTACCGAAAGACCCAAAGAATATGAATTCCTGCAGTCACGAAAGCTTTAAGTCAAGCATTATAGGTGTCGTCGTCGTCGTCATCATCGGCAGCAGCAACATCAACGGTATTGGCATCATCGCCGTAATGGTGAAAATAAAAAAAGCAGACAAGACGCCTCCTTCCCGTGTTTGTCTGTCCACGTAATAAATGAAAGTGTTTTTTTCTTATTTACAAATCCTATCGGCCACACGGCCTTCTTGTAGTGATTGTTCTTCAGCAGCGTTGATTTAACACGTGCAAAACTCTGCACCGCTTTTGACATTCGCTGTCTCGTCAGCAGAGTCGGGCTTGCTTCAAGCAATGCTGGTGAACCACCAGATGTTCATAGGCAAGGACCCTCTCTCGTAGATACGGGTCCTGTTTCTACGCAAAACTGTCTCTCTCCAAACGTTAAATCATATTTTACACATCCCATGTAGCGTTCCGTGTATGCGTCAAGTGTGTGTGGGGAGCGGTAGTATCGTGGTCAGCGCACTAATCTACGAACCCGGTGACCCGAGTTCTATTCCCGCTCACGGGCAACATCGGTGGTGAACATCTGAACTGGTCCTGGGCCTCCCCTAGATCGGCTCGGCCCTTGAATGAGTACCTGATGCGGTGTGTAAACATCAGCATGGGAAGACAGAGGTGTAGTGCTGTGTTGACCTTCATAGGCGGTTTCCAAAAGCACTTGCCCCAACAGTCTGGGTCTCTTTTGTTTTTCTTGTATGTGTGCCAGTGTTTGTCAATAGGGGTGCTCGACATATTTGGCTTTGAGGACTTCACTCACAGCAACAGCTTCGAGCAGTTCTGCATCAACTTTGCCAACGAGCAACTGCATCACTACTTCAACAAGCACATCTTCAAGATCGAACAGGTATCTTCCTCTTGAATGGCTTAACTACATCTGTGAAGATGTTCAAATACCAAATAGACACCGATTACAAGGCATCAAGTCTGCATTAATCACGCGTAATTGCGGTAAAAGTTACAAGTAATTGCCGAGCTGCACCTTAACCTTTAGGAGGCCATTTAACAGTCCATTTAGACAAGGAGACTACTTTTCAAGGCAGACCGAGGATGATTATGTACGTATGTAGACCTTCTTCCCACCGTATACGGCCAACCGTGCTAATCGGAGGTGCGGGGGAAGGACAATAAGATTATGGTGATTCGTTGCTGCTGCTGCTGCTGATGCTGATGATGTTGCTGCTGGTGCTGATGAAGATGGCGCCGGCGCTGCTGATCTATGTACGTTGAACTTTTTTCGCACCGGTACGTAGCCAACCGTGCAAATAGGAGGTGCGGACGATGCCTGTAATAATGACGATGAACCCCTGACTGGCGATCGAAACTCGCGACCCTGCGATTACGAGTCGATCTCTCTCGCTCGAACCACCGCATCCCTCGCCACTTTCCCACGCCCCCTCCATCCCCAGGAGGAGTACGCGAGCGAAGGCATCGTCTGGCACAACATCGACTACGTCGACAACCTCGGCTGTATCCAGCTCGTGAGCAGGAAGCCCACCGGTCTCTTCCACCTGCTGGACGAAGAGTGCAAGTAAGTCCGGTTTTGAATTTGTGTCGCTTCATTCATCTATGAAAATCGATCCCGCGGCAGCAGCAGCAGCTGCAGAGGCAGTAGTCGCAGCAACTGTTCTACACGTCCTTTGTCGTATTCGGAGATCCCCGCGATCGCAAACGGCTAACATCGGTGGTGAGTGATGTTGGAAGCAGTCTTCGGCCTAGACCAGGGGTCGGCAACCAAAATAACAAGAAGAGCCATTTCTTTCCAATTCGGTACAAAATTCAGTATTCAAGAGCCGCAATGCATCTGAGTACATACTGTACATACGTACATATCGTCAAGAAGCAGCCCGTAAAGAGCCGCATGCGGCTCCGGAGCCGTAGGTTGCCGACCCCTGGCCTAGACCCTTCAAAAGCCCACACTGACCCGTGTGGTGAAGGATGCTCAAGCAATCCCCCATGACTGACGCGGCATGGGGAGGCCTTCGATCAGCAGTGCATTGACGATGCTAAGAAAAAGATTCTGCTTACATAATGTCATACCGATCGAACTGTATCAATTAGACATGGAGCCTGGCTGAGATTTTGGGTTCATATAATATATACATAACATATTGTGTCCCCAGGGGTTAATTTTCCCAGGGGGGGGGGGGTGGGGGGGGAGTCATATTGCTATAATATAATTTGTACCCTGGGCTTCAAATAAATAATATATACGTAGTATTTCCATCCCAGGTTTTGAAATTCTATGGGGTCAAAATGCTATCTCACACTGGCTTGAATCGGTGAATCGGTGATTCGGTGCTCACTAACAGCAGCTGAGCCTGGCATGTCTGCCTGGCTAAATGGGTGGGGGGGTTTTGACCGTTCTCTTTATTGTCCCAGCTTCCCGCAAGCAAACAGTGGAACCCTGCTCCGGAAGTTCCGGCACCAGCACGAGCGGAGCGAGTTCTTTGAGATTCCGGCCGTGATGGAGGCGGCGTTCATCATCAGACACTTTGCCGGCCGTGTGAAGTACCAGATCAAGGTCAGTTATAACCGGTGCACGAGCACGTGTGGGGATCATCGCCATCGCCATCAACAACAACAAAAAAACAGCAGCAGCGGCAGCTTACGTTGGCATCGTGCATATAATGCAACAGGTGTCTCTGTGCATGAGTCACCGAATCTCCCAACCACCCACCCATCCAGCCATACTCGTACTTGCGCACTCACCCGCTCAGTTGGCACGTGTTACACAGTTAATCCGCCTGCTTCACAGTGGATGTTGAAGATCTCATGCTTCAAATTGTACTCACAAATGACTGTAATAGCGAAACACATGGCAATCGTCACCCCCCCCTCCCCCCCCCCGTACTGTGGAAACTTTGCAGGAACCCCTCTGAGACTCGGTGAGGCTTTCCTTGGTGAAAAAAAAAACATTTAAATAAATATTTCCAAGAATAATTCTCCAGAGGTACCTCCCAGGGTGGCATCTGGTCTCGACTGTCACCAACAAACGAACAAACGAACAAAACGGACAAAAACCTCATCTTCCCCTCCAGGATTTCCGGGAAAAGAACACGGACCACATGCGCGCGGACGCAATCGCCCTGTTGCGTGGCAGCAGCAGCGTGCTGGTGCGCGCCCTCGTGAGCCTCTACCCCGTGGCGCTGCTGCGCTGGGCCGTGCTGCGTGCGCTGCTGCGCTCCGTGCGGGCGTTCCAGGCCGGGGCCACTCGCAGGGCTGGGGTCAGGTCGGTCGTCGCCGCCGCTGCCGCTGCCGCCGCGTTATCGGGCGATGGAGCCCGCGATCACCGCGGTGAGTGGTTGCGCGTGCGTGTCTTCAAGCCGCGCGTGTGTGTGTGTGTGTGCTTGGGGGGGAGGGGTAGTGCAGTGACTAGCATGCTGCGCTGCGAACCCGGCGACTCTAGTTCAATTCCCGCTCATGAAACAACATCGGTGACGAATATCTGAACCGGTCCTGGGCCTCAACTAGATCGACTCATCCTCAACTGAGTGACCCGCCCATACTGGACATCTGTGAAAAAGAGCTTCACAGTTCATCAGATTCCTCTAGTCTCTCAATAAAGATTCTGATTTCGAGTGCCTGGTGTTTTGTGTAAATTTCGCCACTGGGGAGACAAAGGCGATCGAGCGTGGTTATGTAGTGCCTTAATTAAGGCACTGAACAAAGAATTGGCGATTTGTACAGCAAAAGTTTGATGAGATGAGTTGATGAGACGGATGGTAGTACATGAGAATGATGATGCATGAAATTAACGATGGTGAAAGTGACAACGAGTGGTTAATGATGAGCCAGTGTGATGAATGGGTAAGGGATGACGGTGTTCATGATAGCGAAGGGAGGGAGAAGAGTAGTTTGGGTGAGCAAGGCAAATTCTCATCTTTCGTACGGCTGATGTAGATGCAGAGCAACGACTACAATTTCACTATCAGGTGGTCAAAGCCCAGATAGATGCGTCAGGAGCAGCGGAGTGTATCATCGCCATGATGTCTCCTTCGTTTTTGCGGATCGGTCATTGCTTCGTTTTATACGTTGTACGGTCTGTTCTGGACGACCGCAGTTGTGCAATGGAGAGCGAGCGAAAGTAATTTTGTGTGTGTGTGTGTGATAGGCATCGGCGTCGACGGGGGGCCTCTGTCACCCGTCTTCTGCCCGCGAGCGTCCGGCAGCTTTCTCATGCACCCCGTGCACCAGCGGAGCCTCCAGATTCTGCGCCGGTGCTCGCAGGAGCGCGTGGCCGAAATCTCCCACGCAGGAGCGCCGCTCAGTTCCTCCCTACCCTGGTACAGAGTCGTGAATACTCCCTCCAAAACTGAACACAAAAAGCAGTTCTTAAGAAAATAAGTTTTCAGTCTAGGTTTAAAAGTGCACAGCTCCGGTGGCTTCCTCAAATCCGAAGGAAGAGCATTCCAGACGGCTGCAGAAGCACATCTAAAAAGCGCGAGATGCAGTGACCGTCTTTAAATGAGTACCTGGTGCGGCGTGTAAACATCTTCAATGGGGAGACAAAGGTGATTGGACATGGTGCTGGTCACACCACTCTCGTGCCATGAAGGCATTGATAGGCGCTCACTAACAGCACTTGCCTGAAAATCCGTCCATTTATAATGGGGAGTCACGATGACTGTCGTCAAAATTAACACATTTCAACCTAAATGGGTGTTGCCAAAAACTTGAAAACCCAAACCAGGGCAAAGATCGCAATCTGCCAAACACATTTGGCCCTGACCACTACCGGTTGGCTCTCCATCCTGCTAATTAAATACTTCCGTAGGCATGCACATTGGACGGTATTTACGTAAACCATCGCCGCACGTGATTTTTTTTGTCCCATTTGTTTGCAACTTACGCCGTGTTGTCCTTTCTCCGCACCTCGGATGAGCACGGTTGGCTACGTACGGTGCGAAAGAAGTTAAACATACATACTGTGACCTGTGACCCCAGGGATGGCGGGTGCGGGATGCGCCGCCGAGGCTCATGGGATGTGTCGCGCGACGACATCTTCGCCTGCGCGGCCTCCACGAGGCTGCGGGAGCGCACCAACAGTATGTTCTGGTCAGTTCCCAATCTCCCTGTCGCACACAATTGTTTATTAATTTAAGTGTTATGAGGGTTTATATTTGGTTGTTAGTTTCTACAAATAGGATTTGAGCCCTTACACAAATAATGCACGGCGTTTGTGGGACGCAATTAGCATGAATGACGCTATATAAAATACAATTATTTTTAACGGCGTTAAAACATTGTAGCAATATTTTTGGACTGGACAGTTTGAATTTAGCTGTGGGAGCTGAGCCTTTAACAGGGGGAGGGGCAGGGCCCGCCGTCAGTCATCACCGCAACGATACACAACTCTGTGTGTGTGCGTGGGAGTGGTCGTGTAGCGGTTAGCGCGCTGCGCTATCAACCCGGCGACGATTATCTGCACCGGTCCCGGGCCTCCCTAGGTCGACTTGGCCTCAAATGAGTACTTTGTGCGGTGTGTAAACATCGCCACTGGGGAGACGAAGGCGGTCGGGCGTGGTGCTGGCAAACCACCCCCTCGTGTGCCGTTCCAGCCTTCATAGGTGCTCGCTAAAAGAACTTGCCCCTACAGTCTGTTATGCTATACGGGATCTTTGTCTTTGTGCGTGGCACCAAATCGCCCAGAATGCCCCCAGTCTCACGAGAGCCCGGAAGCTAAAGCAGGTGTTTGAATCTGGCTAGTGCTTGGGTGCATGGCCGCCGTGCCCTAACAGGTCGTCGTATGTTCACCGGGGACTATGGTTTATAGTGCAGAAAAATCCTTTGCTGTACTGAACTTCTATGCTCTCAGCAACTTTGCTTCCCGCCTTTGCCAATGCCACACTGACCAGTGTGCTACATATACAGTACATATATTGGAAGCCAGTCACGTTGATGATGAGGTTGTGGACGATGGTCATTATAATGGTGATGGTTGGTTGCGATGGTGGTGGTGGTGGTTGTGGCAGTATTGATGTTTTTTGTCTCTTTTATTTCAGCCGGAAGAATAATTCCAAGCCCAAAATCAACTTACCAAAGGTACGGTCAATCCTAGATCTCAAATACATTACTTTTGATGACTGTAGCGGCGGTGATGATGACGTTGATGAAGGTGTTGGTAATGATAGTGGTGGTGATGATGATTATGATCATTTTGGTTAGTTCTGGGTGGTTGCAGTGATTGTATTCGGATCAAAGCACCTCCGATTAGCATGGTTGGCTACGTACGGTGCGAAAGAAGTTCAACATACGTACGTACATAATTGCAGCATTGATTATTCTCACGTTGAAATCTTCGTTCATGTCATTGAAACTCGAGTTGGGCTCGTGTGCCATCTAGTGGTGTTTGGGAATCGCCATGACAGGCCATTCATTTAAATGGAACGCAGGAAATCGGGCGTGGAGATTGGACGTGGATTATGTGGATGATTCCTCGCCTTTCAAAGAATCCCATAAAATCATATTAGTAATTCCTGCAATTTCCAATGACATTGAGGGTAGCCTATGGACGCTACTTAAGATGGTCAAACAATCCCATTTAATTTAAATATGAATGTATGCTTCTCTGCATTAAGATTAATGGCATTATATAATATTGTACCTGAGCTGTCGAAGAATGCACATTGATCTCCATGACGTTCCTGCATCTAAATGCAAACGAATAGGCTTCCTAGGTTGCGATTTCCAGAATCAGAATCTTATCTTTCTACTGGAGGAATCCAATGAGTTTTGAAGCTCGTTATCACGGATGTCCATTAGGGGCGAGTAGGCAACTCAGAACATTCCAATGTTTCCCGCTAGATGGCGAGCTTTGACGGCGATGTATTTCTGATTTTGATATATTTGATGCTCATGCTTCTGCCGCTGCTACTGGCAGTTTCAGTTTATTTTGCACCGTACATAGCGAACCGTGCTAGTCGGAGGTGCTGGTGAAGGACAACAAACTGAACACAAAAAGCAGTTCTAAAGAAATTAGTTTTCTATCTAGATTTAAAAGTGGTTTCTTAATATCGGAAGGAAGAGCATTCCAGACGGCCGCAAAAGCGCATCTGAAAGCGCGTGATGGGGTAACAGTCTTTGTTCGATGGTTAGCCAAAAGCCGCTGCGACGATGAGCTGAGTTTGTGTGATGGTTTACGCTCCTTGACGACATCAGCAGCAAGGTACCGTGGTTCATTTGTGCCAAGCATTTTGTGTGTAACGAGTTCGACCATATAAAAAATTTGGCATCAGCAAGACTATGGTCATGCCGATGCTGGTGCTGCCGCCGATGGCGACGACGACAATGATGATGCTGCTGGTTCAAGTTCAAGTTCATTTATTAGGTATAGCCCTGTGAGCCATTCGGCTCTTGAATCGGGTGCAACCGCAGCAAACAAAAAAACAAAAACATGAACAAGAATACATCTTATAGTGACTATGTGCAAACAGAAAATCCAAGAAAAGACAGCAAAATAATGCAGAAAAAGCACCGTACACCAACACTGTGTGCAAAAATCCCAGTGGGATGCAAGTCAAACAACAACAACCACAAGACAACTTAGATTAAGGCCAGCAGTCTAACTCTGTACTACAACAAACAAGCATGGCCAAACCAAAAAACTTTTCGAAAATCACCAAAATAAAGCCATAAAAGCAATGAAACAGTGGTCATAGGAACTGTGACCGAATTTTCACAATAAACGACGTAAACAACATAGTACTACCAAACTCTGCAGCCATAGCTGGCTGCAGTGAGTCACTCCACAACAGTAGGAGCATCAGTCGAAGGTATCTGGTGTGTGTGCGTGTGCAGCATCTGGTGGACATACGCTCGCTGCAGCACGTGGTGCGTCTCTCCCAGCACGAGCGCCCGGCTCACGCCCTCCTTCAGCCTCACCCCAAGAAGAGACCTCCCAGCATCTCCGCTCAGTTCCAGGTCAGAATCGGAATCGGGGTACTTATTTATTCTGGAGGAATCCGATGAGCTATGAAGCTCTTTTTCACTGATATCCGGTTGGGGCGGGTCAGAACGTTAAAACACATTTGAACCGAGGTAGGTGTGGTTTCCGATGCGACTTGGCGTGGAGCCTTTGTTACTCTCGAGTTTTGTGTGGGTGTTTACCCATTCAACTCTGTTAAATGCGGCTGATGAAAGGAAAGGACACATCGGGTCAGGCAATGTTTTCAGCTGTTTCAACAAACGATACAAAAACGCGACATGCGTGCAAAGAATAGGAAAGGTAACACATCACTTATCGGGTCACTGAATCGGTTCATTGTGTTTGTAGCCACCAGATTAAAAGAAAATAAAGAAAACTATAAGGCCTAGCTTAAAAAAACTGAATAATAATTTTGTCCGGAAATGTTACAGGGCTCAAACTTTTATTTTTGCTTTTGAAATCTTGATTTTGTTTCTGGATTCAACGCCGTTAAATATCTACAGGTAGCAATCTTCTTTGTAGACCTATGTTAAACTAAACAAATTTCAATATTTTATCTTCAAAATGTCAAGGGATGTATTTTTTTGATGAACAGAATAAAATAAAAATTTGATTATGGAATTCTCTGGTTATAACCATGGATTTAACTAAATGTGTGCCAAAATTCACCTCTTCCATTTGTTTGTTACTCAGTAGTGATCATTCAAATGTAATAGACGTGTGTGTGGATGTATTTTCTTTTTTTTTACTTCACGTGACCTCAAATACACCTAGCGTGACACAAGCGCCGTGGTGACGTCACTGCCACTTAGTGGCGAATGGCGGCTGTTGTTGTTGTGGTTCACTTTTGGGGAGTGGTGACACATTGGTTAGTGACCTGAGTTCCATTCCTGACCATGGCCAACATCATTGCCAGTCAAATTTTGTGGCCTTAAAATGAAAAACATATAAAATATGAAACATATAAAAAGATATAACAGACGGCATTTCAGTCAATGGCCTTTCTTCGTAGCCATCGCCCATTTTAAATTGTTCACTTTAAGTTCACAGTGTTATTGATAAATGTGTTGACTTTTTAAAATATTATTACACTTCACGCCCGTGCATCAAAGGTGCCAACACAGCCGTATCGCCGAACAATTTGCTTTAAGTTCAATCTTGATTTGAAGCTTTTGTGACTGCAGGAATCCATACTCTTTGGTTCTTTCAGTAAAGTCACGGAGGTACAGTGAGGGAAAAAAGTATTTGATCCCCTGCTGATTTTGTACGTTTGCCCACTGACAAAGAAATGATCAGTCTATAATTTAAATGTTAGGTTTATTTGAACAGTGAAAGACAGAATAACAACAACAAAATCCAGAAAAACGCATGTCAAAAATATTATAAATTGATTTGCATTTTAATGAGGGAAATAAATCCCACTCAGGGCCAACACCAGCGACGATTATTTGAACCGGTCCTGCGCCTCCCCTAGGTCAATTCAGCCTCAAACGAGCACCTAGTGCGGTGTGCAAACATCGCCACTTGGAGAAAAAGGCGGCCGGGCGCTCATTGTGTGCCACCCACCCCCTCGTGTGCCGTGCCAGCCTTCATAGGTGCTCGCTAACAGCACTTGCCCCAACGGTCTGTCAAGGCTTTGTGTGCGCATGTGCGATGTGCCTCTCAAACGACGAGCAGGCCTCTCTGAACAAGCTGCTGGACACCCTGAACCAGGCGCTGCCCTACTTCATCCGCTGCCTCCGCTCCAACGACCGCAAGGACCCCATGCGTTTCGACGAGGAGCTCGTGCTGCGGCAGCTGAGATACACGGGCATGCTGGAGACGGTGCGCATTCGTCGCGCCGGCTACAGCACCAAGTACACCTTCCAGGTGAGGGCTCCCGCCTGTGGGTGGGTGGGTGGGTGGAGTGGGTAGCGGTGTCAAGATCGGCCTCTGTGGAGGAGGCTCGTGAAGGACGCTGCTGATGCTGGGGAGTTGGAGGCGGATGCCCTCCAGGATCAGCGGAGGGCGGAGGAGCGACGCTCACAACAACGAGCGGAGTGCCGGGTGGTTAAAACGCTAAAAGTTGGTACGGTGGGGAGGACAGGTGGTGGTGCATCTTCCAGTCATTTCAGTCCGTCAACCCATGGCACCTGGGTCTGTTCCGTCACCTCCTGCCAGCAGGCCTTCGACACTTCACTTTGCCTCGAAGATCACCGAGCATGGCACAAGCGCCGTGGTTATTGGCGGTTGTTGTCAGTAGTAGTAGCGGTGGTGGTGTAGTGGCTAGTACATTGTGCTACGAACCTAGCGACACGAGTTTGATTGCCGCTCACGACCAATCACAGTCACAAATATCTGAACCGGTCCCGGGCCCTCCCCTAGGTCGACTCATCCTCAAATGAGTATCTGGTGTGGTGTGTAAACATTTCCACTGGGGAGACAAAGGCGGCCGGGCGTGGTGTTGACTTCCCACCCCCTCGTGTGCCGTGCCTGCTTTCAAAGTTGCTCGCTAACAGCACTTGCCCCAACAGTCTCTTGAAGGCTATATGGGAGATCTTTTTCTTTGGTAGCAGTAGTTGTGTCGTTAAGGCCCTCCACCATCCGGCACGGCCAAACAAATTAACTCGTCACGTGTACATACCTATCAACCCCTCATCAGTGCCCTGCCTTATTACAGACCAATTCAGACCTTATTGTTCACCCCGTGCCCCTTATAAATCTCTACGTTCATCCTACAAAGTCCCATCACAAGGGAGACACGCAAACAAATAGACACTTTTTTCGTTTTGCCCGTATTGAAACGTCTGTACGCCGTATGGACCTGAACATTCAGTTTCCCTGTACAAGAACACGGGTAAACCGTGCGGTCTGACAGCTATGCGTGTAGCGTGTACCAGTTTCTAACCCGCAAACTCTTCATTGTTTCGGCTCGCTCGCCAGTAAGTCGAGCAACAACTTTGACGACCAAATTTAGAGAATCGGTCACGTGACATTTCGTTTGTAACTGCACCACACATCACGAGGATAAGATCCCAGGAAGTCGGGATAACCGTGTCACCGGACTTGGCTTTTCGGCCGCGTCCATCACCGGTGCTGGTGCTTTGCGCCGATGGGTGGTGTTTATTGTTTGCCGCTGTTGTCCCCTTGTCAGGAGTTCAAGGAGCGGTTTGGCGTTTTGATGCCACGAGACGCGGAGCCCAGACAGGCCGACGTGGGGTCCCTGCTCCAAAGCCTCGGCCTGGATCCCAACAACTATCAGATCGGACGCACCAAGGTGGGGCGCGCACACACGGGCGCGGGCGGGGACACTTAACCAGAGGTCGCAACCGGGTACCCGATACCCGTACCCTACCCGATACCCGGCCAGGTACGGGTACGGGTAGCCGTTTGCGACCCTGGTGCGGCCGGGTATGGGTAGGCCGTGAGTCACTGGTGAGTAACCGTTTGTCACTCATTTCGGGTAGGGTACGGGTACGGGTAGGGAACGGGAACCCGTACCTGACCGGGTATGGGTACGGGTACCCATTTGCGACCCTGGTGCGGCCGGGTACGGGTAAGGAATCAAAACCCGTTTGCGACCTCTGCACTTAACCCCTTCCCCGGTCCGATGACGTACGTGCATGCCATCAGTTTTATTTTTTCCCATTACGTTCCAACGATGTACGTGCACGAATGAGCACCCGGTGCGGTGCGTCGCAAGCATCGCCACTGGGGTGACCCAAGGCGGCCGGGCATGGTGCTGGCCACCCACCCCGCTCGTGCGCGGTGCCGGCCTTCATCGGTGCTACTCGCTATAACGGCGCTTGCCCCAACAGTCTGCTGATGCCACGTGGGGGACTCTTCGTCTTTGTTTCGCGTGCCGCCCAGTAGGTGTTCCTCAAGGAGAGCGCTCGGCAGTTTGTGCAGGACTGCCTGCACGACGAGGTGTCGCGACGCGTCGTGCTCCTGCAGCGCCGCCTGCGCTGCCGGCGTGACCGTGCAGCCTTCCAGCGGCAAAGGAGCGCCAGCCTGCTCCTGCAGGTGCGCCCCCACTCTCTCTAAGTCTGTCCTGCGCGCAGTACAGCAAGTAGGTACGCAAACCAGACCGCGGTCAAATCGCACACCCTCAGTTGCGAGCAGCCTTTCAGCGACATAGGTGCTCCCCAACTCTCTCTTAGTCTGTCCTGCACGCAGTACAGCAAGTAGGTATGTGTAAACATCACTACTGGGGAGACAAAGGCGGCTGAGTGCGGTGTTGGCCACCCACTCACTCGTGTGCCGTGCCGGCCTTCGTAGGTGTTCGCTAACAGCTTTTTCCCGAACAGTCTTTTGAAGGCTATGTGTGGGGGATTTTTGTCTTTTTTTTCTTTTGTGTGTGTGTCCGTGTGTGCGTCTGCATGTCCGCATGTCAGCGCGCCGTGCGAGCTTGGCTTTCCGAGCAAAGGTTTCTCCGCTGTGTTGAATCCGGCCGCGACTTCTGGCAACAGCGCCGAGATTCCAAGTACGGCAATCCTGCCGTGCCCGCCGCCATCATATTTCAGGCAAGCTACGCACGCGCGGTGGAGCGGTAGCGCTGCGGTCAGCGAATTCCGAGTTGCGTTCCTGGCCACGTCGTTGGCGAATGATGTCAAAATCGCTTCTGGGCTTGTCCCAGCCTTCACCAGCACGCCCGGACCGACCAGCTTTGTGAAGTTTGGTCAAACAAACCCCCGTGTCTGATGCAGGCATTCCTCCGGCAGTGGATTTACAAAGAAGCCCTCAATCAAGTCGTTAAGTTATCCGGCGGAGAGAGGGCAAGCTACAAAGTCGAGCATTTGAGTGGCACTTACAGGCTGGCAAACAGGTAGTGGTGGTGTGGGAAACTGTAAGGGCAGATGTTGGAGGCTGTCCCGGAACTCAATGTTCAAGGGCCCAGTCCTACTGTTACTGCCCATTGAACTCGTCGCTGCTGCCCTCACTGCCCTAGTTGCTCCTGGTACTCATCGTCATTGTCGTCGCTGGGCCCGAGTTGCTTTTTCCAAGGCCGCGCTACGGTGATGCTCTCTCACCTCTACTCCGACCGCCATTCCACCCCACGTCCTGCACAGTATCCCGAGCTGCGGTTGCAATGAGACGCTGCACAAACTGCTATTGTTTCTGACAACAGCACCATAGCATGGCTGATCAGCCAGAAAAAAGGAGGCAATGGCTACGCGGTGACATTGACAGCATAGTGCCACGATGATGACATCTTCGTGTTCATCGTGACTCTCTACATTTCGCCCGTTGCTCCACAGGCCTGCCTGGCTAAGATGAGGCTGCGCGGTCCATCCCGCCTCCCGTTGTGCGCGGAGGGGGATGAGGGAGTAACCTCTGGATACTTGGGCACCGTGTTGGTGCAACGGGTCTGGCCAGAGGGGGCGGAGAAAGCCGCCACGCATATTCAGGCCACGTGGCGCGGGTGGCGACTGCGGGTGGCGTATGGCCAGCTGAGGCACGCGACTCTCATCCTGCAGGTGAATGGGGGGGCTGGGCACACCTGTGTGCCGCACGTCAACTTGAGCGTGTGGGTGTGACCGTGTGTGTTTGTATCCGTATGGGGAGCGGTGGTGTAGCGGTCAGCGCGCTGCACTACGAACCTGGTGACCCGGGTTCGATTCCCGCTCACGGCAAACACCAGTGACGATTATCTGAACCGGTCCTGGGCCTCCTCTAGGTCGACTCAGCCTCAAATGAGTACCTGGTGCGGTGTGTAAATATCGCCGCTAGGGAGACAAAGGCGGTCGGGCGTGGTGCTGGCCATCCACCCCCTCGTGTACCATTCCGGCCTTCATAGGTGCTCGCTAACAGCACTTGCCCCTACAGTCTGTTAAGGCTATATGGGGGATCTTTTTTTTATCTTTGTTTGTATCCGTGACTGTGTGTGTGCGCAGGAGTAGTGCAACGGTTAGTGCGTGGCACTACGAACCCAGCGAGCCGAGTTCGATTCCCGCTCATGACCAATAACAGTGGCGAATATCAACTGGTCCTAGGCCTCACCTCAGTCGACTCATTCTCAAATAAGTAGCTGGTGCGGTGTGTAAACATCGCCACTGGCGAGACAAAAGCGGTCGGGCGTGGTGCTGGCCACCCACCCCCTCTTGTGCTGTGCCGACCTTCATAGGTGCTTGCTAACAGCACTTGCCCCAACAGTCTTTTACGGCTATACGGGGGATCTTTGTAGTTGTGCGTAAGTGAACAATGGTGGTGGCATGATTTGTGCACTGCAATACGAGCTCAGCACTTCCCAGATATGATGCACAACATCAGTGGCAAGTGGCGTCTAAATCTGTCCCGAGCCCTTGCCTAGGTTGACTCAGCCTCATACCAATGCACGACTATTTTGTGTATGCGCATGAGATTTTTTGGAGGCAGGGTTATCGTGGGCCGCACGATCCCTTTGTGATACCACTCATTGTGTGCCATCCCCTTGTGAACCGTGCTGGGCTTAGCAGGCGCTCGCAAACAGCACTTGCCCCTGTGCCTCTGTATGTATGTTATGTTGAACTTCTTTCGCGTGAGAAGGACAACAAACTAAACACACAAGGCAGTTTTTGAAGAAATTAGATTTCTCACGAGATAATCGGCAAGGTCGAAGCGGGTCGGGGGGGGCTCGCTGTCTTTTGTACGTAATCACACACGCGGTGTTTGCGGTTGTGCCTGCGGTTGTCGTCCCAGGTGTGGTGGAGAGCGAGGCAGAGCCGGGCTCGCTTTGTCCGGCTGCGAGCAGCAGTGGTCGGGCTGCAGGCACGCTGGCGCGGGCAGACGGCACGCGCGCGGTGAGTGGCCACCGCACGTATGCAGTCGTCGCCCGCCTCTCAACCGAGATGGCTTCCGTCCCTCCCCGTCCAGTGTTTTTGTAATGTTTGAACGCCTGGTCAGATCGCGGTTCTTCCTCTTCCACGATCAGCTCCGAGTGTTCCCTTCATCACCGGCCTTCGCAGCCGGTCACCATTTATTCTAGTCACCTGTACTAATGATTGCAGCTTCCTCTACGTGACCTTGATGCTTTGTCTGTGTCGCTTGTCTCAAAGACTTCCTTCAATTTCTCATTGCATTGCCATTCGTAAGATGTTTATAGAAATTTCCCGAAGGCTTCCCTATCGAAGGCAGCGATTCCTCCTTCTTCATTCTTAAGAGTCCACCTTCCTTTCACACCCACAAAATGCTACTGAATACACCGAATGAGTTCGGAGAGTTTCCCCGTAGCCTTGAGCAACCGTTAAAAACGTTTACATCCACGCATGACATCTACTCAAACTTACCTTCCCATAAAATCCCATAAAATCTACTTGCCTTTCTTACGCTATTTGTTGCGCACATTTGAAATTTACTTTGCTCGGGCGGTGTTAGCCGCTGAGGTCTCATTTCCTCTTGTTCCGTGGTCCCTGTAATGATTCCCATTCCGCTGTAACGCATACCGATGCCCGCTTTATTGAGGGCTATATTGGCACGGAGAAAAATAAAGACCTTCATTGATCGTCACACCCCCAAATAACACTCCTTCCTCCGCGGTGTCCCCCAACTCAGATTTCGGGAGCTTCAACGGCAAGAGGCGCGGCCGTCTGCCGCCCCGCCGTGCCCCGCTCGCCCCGCTAGCCCCGTCGACTCGCGCCCGCCGACCGACACCGACCCGGCGGCAGCCGTCCTCTCGGCCGGAGGCCGCCACCCTGGCGACCGGCGTTCGGGGAGCGCCGCCGCGGGGTTTGACGCGGGATCGGGAGGCTCGACGGAATCCGACGGAATTGGCGGAGGACGCGAGGCCGCCGAGGCTGCGTCGCGGGACGACGGCGGCGACCGGCGGCCACCGGTGGCGGAGGAAGAAAGCGGGACGAGTCTTGTGGTCGCGCGACACGTGACGGACGACAACGAAACCGTCCTTGCAGAGGAGTCGCGAGGCGTCGATGCTGCTGCTGCTGTTGTTGGCGATGAGGATGTCGCCGGTGGTGGGAATGGTTGTGAACGTCATCGTGGTGTTGAGAATGAACTTGACGATATGAAGGAGGAGGAGGTCGAGGATCATGCGAAGGGGGTGGTGTTGAACGAGGGACAGGAAACTGTGTACAGGCGACATGCAGACGACTGATGAGGACCATGATGATGATGGTGTCCTCCTAGGAGACACATCAGTAGACACTGTCTCGATGGATGAGACATGTCCCAATCCTGTCGAGGCTGGCGAGGCAGACGACAGCCCTGTCTCTCTTTGCAAGACGATGGACAACTTTGTCTCCATTCTTGAAAGCATGAGCGATGCTGTCACAGCTCGTGAGACAGCAGCTGGGCTTGTGTCTCTTCCTGAGACGACGGACAAACCTGTCTCCCCATACAAGGAACCTAATGACATTGCCACCCGTACCGAGACGGTAAACAATGTTGTCTCTGCCCATAAGGATGATTTTGTCTTCACCAACGAGACAGCAGACATTTCTCTCTGTCCCAGTGAGACACCAGACCAACCTGCCTTTGTGCCTGAGACACTGGACGGTTCTGTCTACCCCAAGGAGACACAAGACCAACCTGTCTGTCTCCATAAAACGCCGGATCGTGCTGCATCTCCAAACAGAACGCCAGACGGTTCGTGCTCCCATCCCGAGATGACGATGGAAGTCCTCGTCTCTCCCGGCGAGGACCCACACGGCTGTGTCTTCCACCACGAGGCACCGGGCAGTCCTGCCTGCCGCCGCAAGGCGACTGACGGCCCCCTCTCCCATCAAGAGGCAATGGAGGTCATCGCGTCCCCCAACGATGCGGCGGACGACACCCTTGCTCGCCTTGAGACCGCGGACGACGCTCTCTTCCGGCCCAACTTAACGCCGGTCGACTCGGTTCACCCGCCGCGAGACCACAGACCTCTCGCTCTCGCCTCGTGACACGACGGGCGTCCCCGTCTCCTGCTGCGTGGTGGCCGCCCGCCGCGTCTCCCCGCCCGCGACGCCGGACGGGAAGGCCCCGGCGGCCGAGACGCCGCGCGTCCCCTCGTCGCTGCCGGACGACTACCTCCACCGCCTGCTCGACACGCTGGGCGAGGGCGACTGCGGGGAGCTGCTGCGCGAGATCGCCCAGAACCTCTACAAGAGGGATGGGGAGGAGGAGGAGGACGACGACGAGGACGAGGACGACGATCGGGACGACGACGGCGGCGGCGACGACATGGACGCAGACGCTGAGGAAGGCGGCGGGGCCGCCGACGGCTGCGACGGCGGACGGCGGGCAGAGCGGCGGAGCGGCGCGGCGAAGGGACGGCCGGAGTTCGTCGAGCGGCGGACGAGGTGGGCGGGGACGCCCCAAGTTCGCGCCGCCCGCCAAGCCCGGCGCCGGCGCCGGCGTGTCGGCAGCGGGCACTTCGCTCGCGTATGGGAGCCAAAAGGTGCGTGTGTGTGTTACGGCCGATGCCGCTCGAGAGTTCGAGCGTACGTGCATTCTCTTCTCCTGTTAACGCCACGTGTGGGTTTCATAACGCGAATTGGATGTATAACGCGATGATGAATGTATTGGAGGAACACGTTAGGGAAGACGCGGATGCGAATTGGATATAACGCGGTGAAGTGAGCACACAACTACTTCACCCGAGGTAGGAATAAGCGGTCATACGGCTGCCTCGTCGTAGCGTCGCACAAAGCGGGATGCTGCTGGACGCTTCTAGACGCTACCCACGCACCTCAGTCTTTGTTCAGCCTGTATATGCATCTCACGTGTTATAGCAGACTGTGCTTTACCCTATGTTATTATTATAACGCGAATTTTCCATAACGCAGTGTTCTTCACGATCGCAACTCCCCTATTATAGCAGAACCAACTGTATTACATTTTAGTTTTTTTTTATATGTATATATGTTGAACTTCTTTCGCACCGTACATCGCCAACTACGCTAATCGGAGGTGTGGGAGAAGGACAGCAAACTAAACACTAAAAGCAGTATTCAAGAAATGTCACTGTCAAAATTAATTTCTCGCTCAAATTAGTGTTTATGGCGGTGCTCACGCCGGCGGATGGAAATTTGACATCCCTGCGGCTGGGGGCGGCTCTATGCGTAGGCCAACCCGCTGTTGACTTTTCCAAAAACTGGTACTTATTTTATTCACCTACCCACTCCGGGGGTATGATGGGCCGAGTCAAACCGCTCCAACCAGGAGTTGAACTCGCAACCTTCCGATTGTGAGCCGCTTGGCCCTACCGCTGAGCCACCGGGCCAGGTTGTGTGTCGATCGTATATGCATATCCACTCGCGTTCACTGCGCAGATGGAATGACGAAATCGCCTCGTGTGCAGGAGCGAGGTAGATTGTTGCATGGCGAAGCCAGGAGAGATGCCGACAGCTTGAAAAGGCCATCCGTCCAGCAGCGGATAGTTAACGGCCCATGAGATAAACCCATTGTTGATAGCGGCTCGTGAGGTGTGCAAACGTTATTTGGGAGGGCGACTCGTAAAAACCTCCAAACGTTCTCACTTTGCACGTCCACAGACGACGACAACCCCACCACCGTCGCCACCACCATCGTCACCACCAGCGGCGGCGGCGGCAAAGGAAGCAGCCGAATCGCGAGTGCCGTGGTCTCGGCGCTCGGTTCAAACGAAGTTGACGGCGGAGGAGGTGGACACCCTGTGTCCGCATGATCGTCATCAAGCAGGAGAACCTCGAGTCGGAGGGGCGAGCCCATCACATTCCCGGGCTGCAGCTGCAGCACTTCAACCTGCCGCTGGGAGAGAAGAGGCTCAGGGCTTTCGGGCCGGGCGCCTCGACGGGCAGCGGCGGGATGCACGGCTCGGCCGGCAGGTGCTGTCCTCGCGCTCCCACACAACGCCAGTGCGATTCCAGAATTCCGTCACAACACCACGCTTCTTGTAATTAATTTATCGTTGGTTAGGCCAAGTAGCATTATCGCCACTGCCGCCACCACCACCACCAGCCGACTCGACCCAATAGTTTAACACGTCGTAGGCTTTTGCTACCAATATTATTCATAATCAAGATTTTTGGGTTAGATCGCGTAAGTATAAATGTGTCATAACCCACCACCAACACATGCAAATCAACTGTGATTATCAATCTATTGTTATTTAATTACAATAACCCCCCTGCCCCCTCTGCACCTGATTGGCTCAATGATGGCATCATCTTGCTCTATATAAGACTGGAAGCAGGTGGATCGCTTCACTATTCTGGCAAATCGCCCGATGATGCTTGATGTAATTACAAGCGAAACATCGTACTACTCAAATTGTAAATGTTGTGGATGGACTCTCCAACACACTGGTGGGCTGACATAGTTTTGTTTACGTGATAAAACCTTACTGGCTGTTTCGGGTGGCGGAGAGTACGACACATTTATATTTCCGCGATCTAACCCAAAAACCTTTATTACCAATCCAGTTAGACTGTCACGTGCGATTGTTTTTCAGTCCACCGGTCGGTGGGAGAATGGTTCTCGCCACCAAATTTTAGCAATTGGATACGCCAAGCATTCTCAGGTCATGAAACTAGGAAGTCAGGATGTACAGGATGTTTCAAATAGATGGACCCAATTTCAAAGCAGTATATTTCATGATGGAAATATGATACAATTACACAAGAAGTTACAAACGATTTAATGAGTTGTCAAGTTTTACTAACCATTTTATAAATGCTCTATGTGCCCTCCACCTGCTGTACTGACAAAATCGAGACGATAGTTGAATTCATCCCAAACGCCTCTCAAAGTGTCTTCTTCCACTGAAGTCACCGCTGCCGTGATTCTGTTTTTGAGGTCATCCAGATTAGTCGCTAATGGTGGCACAAAAACACGGTCTTTGACGAATCCCCACAAGAAAAAGTCGCAGGGAGTGATGTCTGGGGATCTTGGGGGCCAAGAGTGTAGCGCCAAGTCTTGGGGTCCCGTACGACCTATCCAACATTGAGGCAGTGTGTCTTGCGAATGACTGAGGCTAGGGGCTGTTTGTGCGCTGGGAGAGGCATCTAGCGGTAATAATTTGAAACTCTCTGCCCCGCCCTTTCAAGTGGTAAGAGTTTTATTCATGGGCGATTCGTGGTTGCAGATGTATAGCGATTTCAAATCGGGTCCATATTTTTAAAACACCCTGTAGAATATCTCCATGTTAAGTTAATACGATGCTAATAGCAAGGCTGATGGTAGCTAGGCTGAGAGCTGGGCTAGTAGCTAGGCTGGTAACTAAGCTCATGGTAGCTGGGCTTATAGCTAGGTTGATGGTAGCTCGGCTGTTAGCTAGGGTGGTAGGGAGGCTGATAGCTATACGGATAGCTGGAGTGGTAAATAGGTTGATGGTAGCTATGCTTCTAGATTTGAAGCTTTCGTGCCTGCAATGATTCATATTCTTAGGTTTTTTCGGTAAAGTCACGTAGGTAAAAACATTAAAAAGTAAAATAAAATAAAAATCACGACGTTTCGGAGTCAACACAAGCTTCCGTCTTCAGGTGGTACCGTCACAGCCACGACAGCTGTATCAAGTAAATGAGAGATTGCAGGAGCTACCACTCCGTTTATATAATGGTTGGAGAAGGTGGTGGAGCAAGGGCCGCATACTTTTTATTAATATGGTAAGGTGAGGCTTAAGACTAAGAATAGACTGCATAACAAAGGCTGAGCCTTTGTTATGGAGAGGTACGGTTTGTGACTCAACCTGTTAGCTAGGGGTGGTGGATGGGCTGATGGTAGCTCGGGAGTAGCTAGGAGTGTTTCAATTCTCGTTGAGCAATTCGAGAATCTCTCCTCTTTACAGTCTCGTTAGTCTTGGGTTTTTCGTTTGCTCTGCCTTGTGTGTACATGTTCGTTCTCCCCATTAATCTTAATGTAACATTGCCACACCATTAGCATACAGTCTTGAATAGATCGTGAATTATAGTAGTAAAAATTACACACACAATCCAGTGTAGTGTGAACCTATGCATTATAGCTGTCCAACTTAACGTTTAATGTTTAATGTAAAGTTGAATTGTTATTTCCAATGTGAGGTTGACCAGTGGCGAAGTGGGTTAGCGTACTTCACAATGAACCTGGCTGCCGGAGTTCAATTCTTGGCCACGGCTAACGTCAGTGGAGAGTGCTATCAGAACCAGCCCTGCCCTCCCATGTCCCACCCTTCTCCATTCACCGAACCACGCCTAACAGGCCTGGCGAAGTATGGTCAAACAACCAACAATCCCCATGACTGAATTAGCGTGGGGAAGCCTTCATTCAGCAGTGGATTGACATCGACTATGATGTAGGTGCCAGGTGGATTATATTACACATTGCAGGATCACGAGGGTTGGCAACAGATTAAGGGAAGCCTTCATCCAGCAGTGGGTTGACACCGGCTCGCGATGATGACGACGATGGTTGTTGTTAACCCTTTCCCGTTTCAAATGACGTACGTGTACGTCATCGTTTTTTGTTACCGTGTGCATTATCAAAATGAAACCGGAATAAAAACTAAAATAAAATAACTTTATCGGTACTGAGGCTCCCACAAGGCCATGCGGGAAGGCTTTTGGCACAGTTTGGCGTCAGCTATCGTAGAGTGCGGTCGTGTCGCTACGGTTCTCTGCGGTGAGTACAATGTATTTAAAAACAGCTGCGATACGCCTTACAAAATAAAATTAATGCTGAACCGCTTGCGCTTTCCTGAGATTCAGCGGTGAACGGGACACTCACTACGCAACTTGCAGAGGGTTAATCACGATGCGTGGGGCGTGCAGGGTGCACTTGAGGCGTCTGCGCAACTTCCTGAGCAACAAGCGGGTGGCCGACAAGAAGACGTCACACGATCGTCCCGCCGGTGCCCCGTCCACCACCACCACCACCACGACCTGGCGGTGGTCGCAAGTCGGCAGCGTCGCCATCCGGGAGAAAGAGAGCAAGGGTGAGTTGAGTGCGTGAGAGAATAGGTTCGTAGGTGGGTGGGTGAATAGGTTAGTAGGTGGGTGAATGGGTAGGTGTATAGGTTAGTAGATGGGTGAGTGAAGAGTTGAATGAGTAGGTGGGTGGGTTTAAGGGTGAGTGGGTAATTGAGTGGGTGAACGAATGAGCGTGTGAGTGAGTGGGTGGGTGTGTGTGTGTTAGCGTGCGAGTGGGTGGATGCGTGAGTGAGTTGGTAAGTGGATGGGTGAATATCCTATTGGGTGGGTGAGGGGCGAGTGTGCGAGTGGTGAGGTGAGCGAGCGAGCGTGGTTGTTGTCGAGTGCAGGCCATGAAGAACCGTCCGATGTGGAGATCCCAGCGTTCTGTGGGCTCCCACCGTCTTCGAGCCGTTCGGTGGGAAAGGCGGAGAGGTCCGAGCGGAGGGAGCGGGCGGCCACGGAGCCTCCGAGTTCCCCATCGCAGGTGACTCGCTCGCGGTGCCACGTTCACGCAGCTTCCAGCGATTCACCCCCAGACTAGATTCCGTCACTTGCCATGATCCAGGGTCGCGAGTTTGCACGTGTGTAGGTATGTGTGTATGCGTGTATTTGTCTGTGTGGTGTTGGCCAACCCACCCACCTCGTGCGCTGTGTCGGCCTTCATAGGTGCTTGCTAACAGCACTTGCCCCGACAGTCTGTTAAAGGCTATTACGGGGAATCTTTGTACGCGTGCGCGTCTGTCTGTGTGCGCGTGCATCTGCGCGTTTGCGTGCGCTTCTAATAACGCGTGTCCCGCGTTCGCAGCCCGACACCCCCCTGTCGAGGAAGCGGAGCATCCGCTTGGCGCGAGAGGCACCGGGAGGAGCGCAGGGGCAGTGGAACAACAGCACGGGGAAGGTGGCCGTGCGATCGGGCGAACTGCAGCGACTCGATGGCTTCCTCTTGCACAAGGTGGGTGTCTGGTGCCTTTGCACCCTCGTCGTCGTGACCCGCTCAGAACCAGTCTCCGATCGCCGTAACGATTCCCCCGCGGCTCGCCAGATTCGTGGTTCGGGTTGTATACCGCGGTTGTTCAGCGAGATGTCATCTCCCTCGCCTGGTGTACAGGAGGTCGTGGGTTCGATGCCGAGCCTTGACGTCTGCTGTATATTTGGAGTTTGCGGTGTTTTCTCGCTCCCCGTGATCGCGTGGACTTTCTCCGGGTCCTCCGATTTTTCTCTCCACATTTCGATTTAACATCACGCATTCAGAGTCTTTGGCTGCTGTAATTTTCCACGCGATGATAAGTCACTTCGTTGAGCTATCATTTGTGATAGCCAGGTCGCTTCTGGAAAAAAAAAAGCTCAGAGTGAGCCTTAGCTGGTCAAATAAAAAATAGTTTTTCGTTTTCTCTGCCCCCTCCTCATGTCTCGGTTTGTGCTCTGTACCGGGCTCATGTTAATATACAATAAAAAACAAGAACAGTAAACATTGCTTTTAGTTTTAATTGTATTTAACCTCTGCGTGCGCTCTTTCCGTTTGTTTCAGATCAGCGATCTCCTCGTGGATCCCTCCCAAGACTCGGAGGCGGACGTTCTCTTCAAGAACGCTCTCAAGGATTTCCGTGGCAACGTCCAGAGCCTCTACTCGGCATCCCTGGTCAGTGCCGCTTAGCGCGCGTCAAAGACAAAGATCGCTCCCGTCATAGCCTCAGCAGGCTGTTGGAGCAAGTGCTGTTGGCGAGCACCTGTGAAGGCGTTGCCCAAGGCACACTGAGCGGGAGTGGGTGGCCAGCACCACAACCGCCCGCCTTTGTCCCCCCAGTGGCGATGTTTACAATCACGCGAGGCCCTCGTTTCAGGCTGAGTTGACTCTGGAGGTAAACCCAGGACTGGTTCAGATAATGGTCACTGGTGTTGCCCGTGGGTTGGAAGTCGAACTCGGGTCGCTGGGTTCGTAGCGCGTTGCGCTAACCTCCGCACTGGCGCTCACTACCTGGATTCGAACATAGGTTCTCAGCTGTGCCAGCTACGCGCTCGGACCTCTGAACCATCAGTCCTCCTCCCGCCGTCGTCGCGCGACGTTGAACGCCGTCGCATTTGCTCGGTCCGTTTCTCCCTCCCGACGCAGCGAACGGAGGTGACGGCGTTGACCTACAAGGACCTGGTGGACAACTTCACCCGGGTGCTGGAGAAAGGGGTCCCCTCGGGGGCCGTGCGACGGACAACCAAGAGGGCGGCTCGTGGGATGAAGGGGAACGTGGGGGGCACGGGGGGCACTGGGGGCACGGGGCGCCCGTGCCTGCCCGTGACGATGGGCGTGAACACCATGCAGGTGTTGATCGACGAGTTTGTGAGAGAGGCGGCGCGGGAGGAGGAGGCCCTCAACAGCAAGGTGAGGAAGGCGGTGGGTGAGGTAGTGATGGACTGAAGCAATGGAAGTTAGTGGTGGTGGCAATGATGGCGATGATGGTGCTGTCAGAGGTAGTTGTGTTAGTGGTGATGGGAGGTTGTGGTGGTGAAGGTGGTAGTGATGGTGATTTTGGTGGCGATGGTGATTTTGGTGGCGATGGTGACAATGGATGTGGTGGTGATGGAGGTGGTTGCGAATACGATGGTGGAGGGGGTTGTGGCGATGGTGTTATTGGTTATTTTGGAGGTGGTGATGTGGGTAGGGTGGTGATGGAGTAGTATTCTTGATAGTAGTAAAGATGGTGGTGGTGGTAACAGTAGGGTGGCTAATAGTGGAAGAGGTGTTGATGATGTTGGTGATAGCACTGCTGGGTTGGTGCTGGCTATTCTGACTGAGATGATAGTGGTGTTGGTGGTGGTAGCATACCCATCAACCCCTTATCAGCGGCCTACCTTATTACAGACCAATTCAGACCTTATTGGTCACCCTCTGCCCTTGAAACGGCTGTGCGCCGAATGGACCCGGAAACTCAATTTCCCTGTACAAGAATACGGGTAAACCACCGTATGGGTTGACGGGTAGTGATGATCAGGGTGGTTGATGGTGGCGATTGTAACCATAGCAATACTGGTGGTAAAAATAAGGGTTGATTCACTGTGCTGATTGTAAAACGTCTGTAAACAAGCAGACTTACGCTTGCCTACAGACACACACAAACTGCAAGCCACACAAACGGACTACAGGCGGGTCCCCGCTTTTACGACGTCGCAATGAATTCCTGGAAACCGCCGTCGTAAATCGGACTGTCGAAAATCAGACCCTACTTCCCCATAGACACAAGTAGAAACCGTGGAAAGGTCACTTGCCCCCGACGTGTCTTTCCTTGAATCGGCCGTATTTTGCAGGGTTGAACGGGTAAAAACCAGCAAAAGGACTTGAGAAATAACAAAAGTTCCACGCCAAGTCGCATCGGAAACCAGGCCGACTCTGTTCAAATGTGTTTGAACATTCTGACCCCGTACCGCTACTGGACATCTGTGAAAAAGAGCTTCATAGCTCATCGGATTCTTCGAGTATAAATAGTTATTCTGATTCTGTTTGGAGTCGTGTCGGGAGATGCGTCGCAAATCAAGTTTCGGTGTGGCATATTGATCCATGGTGGTATTGTATAACCGTCGTGATAAATGTGGATCGTGGTAAATCGGACATCGTAAGACCGGAGCCCGCCTCTATATACAAACACATTCTGACGTCAATGTTCTCTGCAGGTGGCCAGACTTGACAAGAAGAAACGGAAAAAGAAGGAAATGGAAAATGTGAGTTACGAGCTATCATCACGTGTGGCCATAATCCAGGTTTTTTTTTGGTTAGATGTGTCTCTCCACGTAAAATGAAAAGTATCTCTTTTACACAACCCATTGGTCAAACACTATTAAGTTGGTTTAACACGTAGGAGACTTTCGCAAGCAATATCATCCATGACGAGGTTTTGTTGTTGTTGGGTTAGATCACGTAAATATAGAAGAGTGTCGTTAAACCCGCCACCACCCGACACGGCCAATTCGTGAGGTTTGTCACGTAAACAGAACGCGCCAATTCGTTACGAGTACAGCACACCAGTGTGTTGGAGAGAAAATCCACACCATTAACAGAGTACGACGTTTCGTCAATAATTACGAGCAATCATCAGGCAGACTGCCAGATTAGTGGAGAAATCCTCCTGTTTCGTTCCTTAGATAGAGGGGTAGATGTGATGACGTCATTTGCGTGGTGTATTCCGCAAATATGCCCGACTGTGAGGGCGGGCACAAGCCGGCGTGAGTAGGTTAAACGTTGAGTTTTATAAGGGCACGTGAGGAGGGTTGGGGATTAATGAACGCATCTAAATTACAATGGGTATCCACGTGTGGCCAGGTCACCTCTGATAAAAAAAGAGCGAATGGCTCGGTGAGCTTTACCCGGTAAATACATGAATAGATATAAATAGTACTTTCAATTGTTTTACTGTTGACTATTGCCCTTTGTTGCAGCAACACCGCTTCTAAGTCAGGTGACATACGGTACTTCTCCATCGATCATTCACGACGATGATGATGTTGATAACGGTGTTGATGGCGAGTCATGTTGGTGGTGCTGATACTGCTGTTGATGTTGCTGCTGGTGATGATGATGATTATCGTGATGCGTTTGGTGCTAACCTTGATGCTGGCGATTATGATCTTGCTGATGCCGCCACTCATGACGATGCTTTTAGTGCTGCTGATGATGTTTATGATGATGCTTATGACACTGATGATGCTGCTTGTGATGAATGATTCTAATAATAGTGCTGCTGCTGATGATGCTGCTGTTACTGGTGATGATGCTTATGATGATGATGATCCTGTTTGTGAAGATGCTGATGATGATGCTTATGATGACGCTGCTCGTGTTGACGACGATGATCGTCATCGCCATTCTTTTCTGTGCCGATGCCGCTGATGACGACACCATTGGTGATGTTGACTTGACTCGGTGGTAGCGCGTTTGCTGCTTGTTGCCGAGGTTCACGGTTCAAAGCCAGTGGTCGCCCTGATTCATACTGCGGGTGTAATAACCACCGCCAACATCATGACGACGTTGATGTTGGCAGTGGTCAGTGGTGATAATGGCGGCGGTGGTGACAATGATGTTGGCGGCGGTCGGCGGTGACGGTGATGTTGTGGTGGTGACGACGACGACGATGATGATGATGATGTCATCGGTCGGTGGTGACGGTGCGGCAGGCGGAGGAGAGACTGGGCCACGCGTTCCGGAGCGTCCAGTTCAACATCCCAACGTCGTGCGAGCAGTGCGGAGCGTTCATGTGGATGATGGACCGAGGATACGTGTGCAAGTGTACGAGGCCGCACGTGTGCCACCTTCCTCTCTCGCAATATTCTGTTGCATCTCCTAAAAATCTCTCATTATCTCTTAAGCGTGGCAGTGCTGAGTGTCACTCCCACGTATGCGTGGGTGGGTTTCCGTCGAGTTTCCCTGCTTGTTTCTTCGTCATTGTCGCCATCCTCCGGGCTCCTCTAAGCATGTTTTTTTTAAATATTTCAGTGAGATCCCGGTACAGAGAACAAACCGGGACACAGGGAAGGGGATAACAGAAGTAGGTCTCGAAATCTGTGCCTCCTGGGTTTTAGGTGAGGGAGGGGATTTGGGCTCCCTGACTCACCCAAATGGGGACCGCGAGCGGGGTGCGTTGTACTTCGACGTGGGGAAGGGGAATATGAGGGAGGAAGAACTCAAGTAAGAGGGTAGAGGGAGTGGGGAGGAGTGAGTTGGTGGGGACCTCTTTACAGCTTTAATATTAGCACTTACCGCCACGAGTCATGAACGTGTGGTGCAGAGCAGGCTTTGGGGGCGCTCCCTTAGGAATTTTCCCTGTCACATGACTTATCCCACGCTCTCACCATGATACGCCACTTCCATCCCCGCACCTCCGATTAGCGCGTCTGGCTACGTACGGTGCGAAAGAAGTTCACCATACACACAAACTTCCATGCCTGCACCACGGGATGGGTGCAGCGTTGGCTCTAGCCACCGAATCTTAAAGGCGTCAATGTGACCAACGGAGAGAGGGTGTAAAAGCAGAGGAGTGCCACTTCAAATGTAAGGGACTTTTTTTTTTTCTCCACCTGATGAAGATTGCTTGTGTTGCGATCGAAACGTCGTTTTTTTTTGCTTTTATTATTTTCAATTTATTATTTTATTTAACTATTTTTATTGTGGGTTTTTTGCTTTTATTATTTTAAATGTATTCTTTTTATTTCATTTTTTTGTAATTTGATAAGTTTTATTTTGTTATAATTATTTTTAGATTTCTGTTTCCTATTTACGTGACTTTGCCGAAAGAACCAAGAATATGGGACTTCTTTTCTAGTCTTTTTTTTACTTTACCTGCTCGTCTTGTGCATACGTTTTCCATTTGCACGGCTGTTATTCGGGTGCCGTGTAAATCCATTGAGTGTTGTATTTTGCTCCCCTCTTGTTGTTGCCCAAACGCAGTGTGCAAATACACGTGCCACAGGCGGTGCTGCGAAAGAGTCCTCATGCCCTGCCCGGGCTCCTTCCTCTCCGGACGCAGGGTAAGACGCAAGGAGACCGCTCAGCTTCTTGGTTCTTTCGGTAAAGTCACGTAGAAGGGAAATAATAAAATAATAAAAATAAAACAGAATAAAATAATTCTCACGACGTTTCGGCCACAACGCAAGCAGCCGTCCTCAGGTGAAGAACAGGTCTGTTTGAAAGACAGCGTCTGAATGAAACACCACCAGGCTTGCATATCAAGAGGAATTTAGCATATTTAAATATGCTAAATTCCTCTTGATATGCAAATTCCTTTGTCAAGGCGCTCTTCCCCCTTCCAACCCAGCTTAAATATACACTGCCAAGCCTGGTGGTGTTCATTCAGACGCTGTCTTTCCGACAGACCTGTTCTTCACCTGAGGACGGCTGCTTGCGTTATGGCCGAAACGTCGTGAGAATTATTTTATTATGTTTTATTTTTATTATTTTATTATATCCCTTCTACGTGACTTTACCGAAAGAACCAAGAAGATGAATCCCTGCAGTCACGAAAGCTTTAAATCGAAATGAGACCGCTCAGGTTTCCTATTCGCGTTATCACGGTGGGTTTTTATTTTGAATTAACCAACCCAGGTGACAACTTAAAAGGGACCAGGTTATAGTCCTTCATTTACAAGGGTGAACCCCGGTCACGGAAACGACAAAGGCAATATCGTAAAGCAAAGCGCGGTTTGTCGAGCGACCTAGAAATCGGAGCAACACCGCAACCCCGTGTATCGCTCACACAGTGCTCGTATTGAGCACCTCATGGAGGCTGGGGAGGCACATAAAGGCATTGTGCGGCCACGCCCGGCTGCCTGCCTTTGTCAACCCAGTGCTGTTGTTTACACACCGCAACAGGTACTGATTTTAAGGCTGAGTCGACCTAGGGGGAGGCCCAGGACCGGGTTGACATTCGTCACTGATATTGACCGTTAAGTGGGAATCGAACTCGGGTGGCCGGGTTCGTAGCGCAGCGTGCGCTAACCGCTGCGCCACCACTCCCCGCAAGCAAACGCACGCACACACTCCTCCACGCATAACCCCACCTCTAACGCAAACCCCGCGCCACCCCGTGCCAGTGTCACTCGGTGCCGCTGCGCCTCCACCCCGTGCCCGTAAGCCTAACCGTTCCCCCCCCCCCCACCGTCCGGCAGTACGAGCCTCACGTTCTGGACGGCAGTGCCCGGCCGCTGACGCTGGCCTCGTACGGCGGCCGCCACTTCGGCGTGCCGCTGACGCTGCTCGCGTCTCCGTCGCGCGCCGTGCCCGAGGTGCTGGAGCGGCTCGTGAGGCACGTGGAGACGCAGGGCCTCTACTGCGAGGGCGTCTACCGCAAGTCCGGCTCCGCCAACCGCGCCCGTCGCCTTCGCAGCGAGCTGGAGGCCGGTGAGACCACCTCCCCCCCCTCCCCCCCTCCGCGTGCCTATCTGCGTATCTACCTGCCTGCCCACTTACCCGTCTACCATCTTATCTGTGGACGCATCCACCTGTCCTCTTAAATGCCTAGCTATCTATCCACCTACTTGGTTGTCCACGAACCGCCATTTATTTTTAATTTAGCGAATCGCTTTAAATAAAAATTTAGCGAATGCTATGTCACGCAACTTCCCACAGTCGAAACAACAGATACATTTACAGAATATATATAGATAGATATATAAATCAATTATGTTTAAGTGGACGTCAGCCCACATCGCCACAGAGCCATTTTGCAGGGTAGCCAGTCCGCCCGGCACACCCTGACGCACTTCACAGGCGAGGACGATGTGTACCGCGGTCTCCTGCTCCCCGCATTCCCACAGAAGTGGGCTGTCACGTAGGCCCCATCGATGTTCGGAAGCAGCAACACACTCCCTGGTCACACCGGAAGCGGTTTAACTGCGCTTACAGGAAACACCCGCCGCCACTTAACTGGCCACACACGAATATATACGAAAAGCCACCTGATGCCTGTGCTCTTGCCGTTGCTGTTGCCACCACCGCCGCTGCTGCCACCGCTGCTGTTGTTTTGGTGGTGGTAGATGTGAACGGCGCGTCCCTGGAAGGCTACCAAGTCCACGTGGTGACGGGCGTCCTCAAGCAGTGGCTCCGCGAGCTGCCCGAGCCGTTGTTCACCTACGAGTACTACCACGACTTCCTGCGCGCCGTCGGTAAAAAAAAAAAAAACCCAGCTTCGGTTTCTCTCGCACATCGAGAACCTGGAAAGGAAGTAGGAGCCAAAGCTCGTCGGGTCTAAAACGTCGGACACCGTGCCGAACAACACGCGATACAACTTAATAACAACATCATTAACGGCCACGGTCAGTCCACTGCTGGATTAAGGCCTCCCCAATCCGACACTGATGCCGCCACCGTCACCTTTCGCGATCCTGTAAAGCCAGCAGTGCGTGGTTAGAGAAAGTGACTGCAGGCCTGTACTTTCACCTCTTTATATAGAGGTGGCTAGGTGGCACGTATCAGAGAAGTTTAGATGGGGTCATTTTTTTTCATGGGGTGGTGACTTCGATTTAGGGTGCCACGGTGGCTAGATGTTAACTACCTCGCCTGGTATGCAGGAGGTCGTGCGTTAGTTCCCAACCCTGACACCTGCTGTATATTTGGAGTTTGCGTGTTTCATTCCCCATGGTCGCGTGGATTTTTCTCTGGATCCTCTGGCTTTTCCCACCACATTTATAACCGACATGCGTTTAGAGTATTTTGCTGCTATAAATTTCCACGTATCACTAGCATCTTTATTGAGCTAGCTGTACAGTAGAACCGTAACCACCTACGCAGCAGCAACATCAAGTCCCAGGATTAAATTATCACGAAATGATTTGTATTCATTTCAGGTTTCTGCAGGCCTGCTTTATTAAACCATGACAACTTACTTGTGGTGTGACCACATGTGTGCCTTCATCAAGAAGCTGTTGCATAAGTCGCCACACCTACTCTCGGTCTCCATACCATTGAGTAATGTTACTCAATGGTATACGTCACCTTCGATTAGCACGGTTGGCCATGTATGGTGCGAAAGAAATTCAACATGCGTACATACATACGTCACCAGTGAGTAGAGTTGTAATGTTCACAGGTTGCAGTTCTGTGCAAAGGACTTTGGTGTAGACTAGGTTTCTAAAAAGAGCTGGAAACTCAGTGGGCCTTACCTGGTAAAAAACAAAATAGTTTATTTTAATTTTAGTTTGCTGGGTGAGCAGAACACAGGGTGGCAAACTTCTGCGACGAGCAGCAAACGTTCTACCGCTCAGCCTCGTGACTGCGCACACGTGAGCCTGATGTCCCTCTTCCTCTATGTATGTATCTATGTTGAACTTCTTTATCACCATACCTAGTCAACCGGTCTAATCGGAGGTGCCTGGGAAGGGCAACGACCTAAACACAAAATTCTAGATTTGAAGCTTTCGTGACTGCAAGGATTCATATTCTTAGGTTTTTTCGGTAAAGTCACGTTGGTAAAAATAAAATAAAAATCACGACGTTTCGGAGGCAACACAAGCTTCCGTCTTCAGGTGGAACCGTCACAGCCACGACAGCCGTATCAAGTAAATGAGAGATTACAAGAGATACCACTCCGTATATATAATGGTTGAGGGGGGAAGGGCCAGGAACGGCACACTTTTTATTAATATGGTAAGGTGAGGCTTAAGACTAAGAATAGACTGCATAACAAAAGACTGAGCCTTTGTTATGGAGAGGTGCGGTTTGTGACTAACGCCTAGCCTACATAACAAAAGTGTGAAAAAAAGAAAATCTAAACCTGGTAAAACAAAACTGGCTGTCTATCAGTAACCTGTAATAGTTGTCTGTCAAATAAGATGGTCCAAATAAGTGTAGTTAAATATTTTTTGCATGGTTAATCACATCTTTCCAATGATTACTCAGTTTGTAACCATCATTACGGTTGAAATTATGTCTGTGTTTGTATATTTGTATGGCTTCGTGTACAAACCTTTGATGGTAGCCAGGAGGTTTGCAGAGCACCTTGGTCTCGGAAAAGACAATTTCATGAGAGCCCACAGAGTTGTAGCAATGACACAAAAATCTATTCTAAAGAATGAGTTTTCAATCTACGTTTAAAAGTGCACAGCTCCAGTGGTCTCCTAATATCGGAAGGAAGAGCATTCCAGACGGCCGCAGAAGCGCATCTTAAAGCGTGCGATAATGCAGTGACCGTCTTTGTTGGATGGCCAGCCACAGCGAGAATGACTGGAGTTTGCGTGATGGTTCACGCTCCTTGATAAAATCATCAAGGTATTGTGGTTCAAAAGCAAGGTGTATTGTGCTTGTTTGTTGGAAGTTGAAGGTCACGTGATCTCGCTGAGGGTCTCTGTCTTTCTTGCCCCCTCTGCCATACAGAGCTCCCGGACAAGAGAGAGCAGGTCCGATGCGTCTACTCGGTTATTGATAAACTCCCACAGCCTCACCACAGCGCCCTGCAGAGGCTCATTTTCCACCTTGTTCGGTGAGTGGGTATCCCCTTGCGAGCTTGCAGGTATTTTCACGTACGTTTGTGTGTGGGGAGCGGTAGTGTAGTGGTTAGTGCGCCGCGCTAAGGACCCGGCGACCCGAGTTCGGTTTCCGCTCATGGCCACCAACACCAGTGACGAATATCTGAACCAGTTGTGGGCCTCGCCGAGGTCAACTCAACCTCAATTGATATACCTGGGGCGATGTGTAAAAACAATGACATTTGGGAGACAAAGGTGGCAGGGCGTGGTTCTGGCCACCCACCCCCTGATGTGCCTTTCCGGCCTTCATAGGTGACCGTGAACAGCACTTGCCCTAACAGTCTGTTAATGTTATACTGGGGGATCTTTGTATTTGTTTGTGTGCGTGAAAAGCACCAGGTTGACTCATAATGGGGAGCACATCTGCCGGTCATCGCAGTCGCTTCAGAATCTTAATTTATACTGGAGGAGGTATCTGAGGAAGCCACCGGTATTATCTTACCTGTCAAACCTTTAATCCCTGCTTACCTGCTGCTCTGGACACGGTGGAGGCCCTGAGTGCGCCGTCGATGTTTTGCGTCTTCCTGTGCAGGGTCGCGCAGCAGGAGGAGACGAACCGCATGTCGGCGTCGGCGTTGGCCATCGTGTTCGCGCCGTGCGTGCTGCGCGGCAGAGACGGCAGGGACCCGCTGCTCGGCATGCGGGAGGTCGCGCACGCCACCGCGTACGTCCCCATTGCTTGTCCGTCCGTGTTTTTACAACGCACGCGCAGGCACGCACGTGTACGCAAGCATGCACGCAACGCAACGCGCGTATGTCGACCCAGTGGCCAGTCTGTGCATGTGCATATTTTTGTGTGTGCGTGCGTGCATGTGTGTATGTGAATGCATATGTGTGTGCGGTAGTGTCGTGGTAGTGGAGAGAGGTGGTTAACGCACTGCACTACAAACCCGGCTACCCGAGTTCAACTCCCGCTTGCGTCAAATACCAGTACCGATTATCTGAACCAGTCCTGGGTCCCCACCTTAGGTCAACTCGGCCTCAAATGAGTACCTGATACGGGGTGTATAAAACATCAGCACTGGGGATACAAAGGCGGCTGGGCCGTGATGCTGGCCCCCCATCTCTTCCGTGTGCCGTCCCGTCCGTTGTACGTGCTCGCTTAACGGTACTTGTAATCTGGCTATCAAAGGCACCCGCTTAACCGAACCTGTCCTTGCGTGCGCAGCTGCCTGGAGCTCATCATTGGGGAGCAGATGACCCGCGTGCAGTCGATCCTCGCCGACATCGCGTCGCTCGACACTGCACACGAGGCAGCTTCCCACCGCTTGCTCCTGGTCCTGCAGTCCCTGGTGAGACACCTGACGCAGTCATTTGCCGCGTTGCATGAAGGGGACAAGCTACAGCTCGGCAATTTCAAGATGAGAGCTGGCCTTGCAGATGCGTATCTAGGAGGCCAAAGCCCCCACCACGTTTTTTTCCGGGAGGCTCGACCGGGGGACCACGTGGTCGGATGTCAGCCCCGCCCACGTTTGCACGGCCACGCCTACTTTTGTACAGCCACGCCCCCATCGAGCACTAGCGCGGCCAGGGCAGGGAAACACGCCGCAGCCACAGTGCCGGGGTTGGAGCGACCGAGGCTCAACACCAACAGCGACAGCGGTTCGGCACGTGTCGTTAGAATCCCAAAAGTGTCCAGCACGTGGTGGCGCAGCATGTGTGTATCTTGAACCTCTTTCGCACCCTATGTAGCCAACCGTGCTAATCGCAGGTGCGGGGAAAGGACGCCAAACTTAGGGGTTGTCGACACGTCCGGTCTGAGATTTAGATTGCCATTGCCTCGTACGCTCGGTGGGGAAGTTTTTGTTTCCCTCCTGGCTACTCCAGTTTCTCCTTACCTGCGTCACGCACGCATTCCATAAAAAACGAGACTGGCGAAATATCCTTCCTGCGTGGCTCTTCTGAAGAGGGCAATTAAAAAAAATCCGACCGATGTTTTGAGAATGATTGAGGCTTTTCTGGAATAATATTGGGCATTTGTTTATTCATTCATTCATTTGTGTATGTCCGTATGTTAAACTTCTTTCCCACAGTACGTAGCCAACCATGCTCATCGGAGGTGCGCGGGGGAAGGACGATATACTAAACACAAAAAAAAAACATTTCTGAAGAAATTAGTTTTCAATCTAGATTTAAAAGTGAATAGGTTCGGTGGCTTCCTGTAATAGGATGTATTTATCGGATGCTTTGTGGCTTTCAATGTCAATCCAGGAGAGCGTCAAGGGTAAGCCGGCTGCGGAGGATGAGGGCACGGGTGGCAGGGTTGAAGGTTTGACCCCCACGGAGGATATTTCGACCCTGTTCGATCAAGACGTCACAGCCATCCGGGACGAGGAGCGCATCTTACGCGAGCAGCTGCAGTCCATTCAGGAGGAACGGTTCGTGAACGCACTCACAAAAAAACATCATCACTCTCATTAACCGTCTCGGCCCCCTTTTCATTCACCGCATACCTTAAAGATGAAAATAAATGGTCATTTCGGGGAATGGACCTGGTTGGTAGCAGAGAGATTTGTCCGTCTTCGCTGGCCCGCACAAGCAGGCGCTCTCGCGGCATGGGTGGCTTCCCGACGGCTATTCGCCGTGCCGACCCAACGACAGCCTCACGTGAAAATATGAACGCTGGCAGGGGCGGGGGGGGCCCAGGGGTGGGGCGCTGTAACAGCCCTTTCATTGCTCTTTTGCGACATCAGTCGGTACGAGTCAAACGCGGTGTCCGCCGCGTCGATCCGCTCTGCGAAGCGACTCGTTCTTTGCGTGTGACGTCAGCGGCTCGGGTCCCCAGGGGGTCGTGCGCATTGGGGGGGGTGGTGGGTGGTGAAAAACCTGAGCCGCGCCAGAATTTGTGTCGGGAACGGCCTCGGTCGTGCAGTGGAAAGAAGAAGAGGATCAAGAACGTGTTTTGTGTCCGCAGGGAGGAGCTCTCGTACGGGATGCTCGCCCTGGAGCCCTGCGGATCCGACGAGGAGACGCTGGACTCCGGCGCGTCCCTGGGCACGGCCGACAGCGCCGAAAACATCCTGCAGGGTCAGATCGTGATGCACGCGCGCGCACGCGAGGATGCCACGGGTTGTGCGGACGGGCTCCTATCCGGCCTACGCCTTGACTCTGTCAGATACCAGATGATGTTTAACCTCCTCCCCACCCCACAATTCCCACACTTCTGCGTTTCTTTCCCAACTCCACAAGCTCCCCCTGTCTACAATTACTGTCTATCTTCTTGGTTCTTTCGGTAAAGTCACGTTGAAGGGAAGTAATAAAATAATAAAAATAAAACATAATAAAATAATTCTCACGACGTTTCGGCTACAACACAAGTAGCCTCGACAGACCTGTCTTCACCTGAGGATGGCTACTTGTGTTGTGGCCGAAACGTCGTGAGAATTATTTTATTATGTTTTATTTTTATTATTTTATTACTTCCCTTCTACGTGACTTTACCGAAAGAACCAAGAAGATGAATCCCTGCAGTCACGAAAGCTTTAAATCGAAATTTAATGACTGTCTATTTAAATGTATCACTCTCATCTACAAATCTCTCCATGGTTTTTCCCCACATCTTGCTTCATCTTCATCTCTTGCTACTCTAAACCTGCTTCCATTCCGCCCTTAAAACAACCCCATCTCTTCTCTCCTAGCCCATCATCCTGCAACTTCTACTCCCTGCCCCCATGCCCCAGCTACGACCAGGTCTAGCCCAACCACTACCCCTATCGCTACCCCAACCCCTATCGCTTCCCCAGCCCTCATCGCTATCCCAACCCCGATCACTACCCCTCCTTAACCTATCCCGCCTGTCCGGTCACCATAACTACACCACTACCACTTTTAATAACAACCCCACTCTTCATCTCAACCACGATCATCTGATGTTCAATTTATCATTGTTGAAAAGGCGCTATATTAATCTACGTAAAATAGATGGTTGGGTGCGCTGACGTTTTATGCGAGAATGTTTAAAGAGCAGGGTGTACCTCGGAAAAATATCACACATCTGGCCAGATGATTTTGAAGAGCTGGGAGAAACCCATACTTTACCCCACTACACTAGACCTTCAAGTTGACTTCACTGTGTGGTGTACTCATTGATATTGCTGGGTGGACAGATGCGAAGGGATTTAACTGGCGCAGCCACAGAGGTGCCCTCCGTCCAAATATTAATGGCTACTTGACCCCAGAACGGTTTGGTATTTTTTTTTAAGCTTGGATAGTGGCCATTAACCCCTTCCCGTTCAAATGGCATACTGTGTTACGTCATCGGAAAACAGAATCGGAGGAAAAACTGAAAATAGTAACTTTAGCGGTACGTCTTCGGGTCGGACGACATAACCGAGGCTCCCACAAAGCCGTGCGGGAGGGCGTGTGGCACAGTTTGGCGCTGGCTCTCATAGAGTGCGGTCGTGTCGCTACGGTTTTCTACGGTGAGCGCAACATCTTTAAAAACAGTGGCGCTATGCCTCTCCTAAAAGAAAAATAACAACGCTGAACCACTTACACGTCATGAGATTCAGAGGTGAACGGGACAAACCACCTTTCCACTTGCAGTTGTCTCGGAACGGGAAAGGGTTGAAGGACGTTCCATATTGAGTATTCGGTTAAGTGCACTTGGGCAGGACACATCACTAGCGGGCGGGACGATGACCGGTGGTTGAGCCTGACCTCGGAGTAGCAGCCAAAAGGAGGGAAACGCACCCCAAGAGATACTCCACCGGGGTTCGATCATCAGATTCCTCCATCTGATTATGAAATAAAGATTCTGATTAAGGGCCAGAGGGGCCCCCTACACACCAAAAGGGGGGAAACCGCCGCTCTCCTGATAGAAACGGGCGTTTCGAGTATTTGGCTGCGATAAATCTCCACTTGTGGCCAGGTCACTTCTGGAAAAGAAGCTCATAGCTCAGTGGACCTTTCCTATCAAAATAAAAAAAATGTCAGTGATGTTCTTGCCTTTCGCATACTCTGCACTCCTATCGCGTTTTTGTATTACGATACCTTTGAAGGAGGAGGATACTTTTAGGATACTTTTTTCTGCGTGCGTTGCAGGCGCTAACTTGGTGAGCTCCTCCGCCTACCCGTGGACCTCCCTCTACTCCGGCGCTCCGCTCCCCGCGCTGGCGTCCACCGCCGGCGGCTCGCTTGGCTCCGAGGCCTCTCTCTACTCCTGCTGCTCAGATGATGGCGCCACCGCCGGCGCCGCCACCGCCGGCGCCGCCGCCGATCTCACACCCGCCTTCCCGGCGCGGCTCCAGCGTCACCGCGAGGCGTGCCGCGCATCGGTGCCGCTCTGCATTCCCACGCGCCGCGACGACCCTGTCGCCCGGGCGGTGGCGGCGGCGGCAGCAGAATCGGCGCGCCGGCAATCGGACCCCACGTTTGACCACGCGACGAGGGCGGACATCCCCTTCATTGACGACTCGTCAGAAGTGTGAAGCGACGAACGTGGAGCGTTGACGCTGCGAAGGAAGTGAAGGAGAAGCCCGTTCGCACGCCGTCGCCTTGTTTGAACGTCGCTTCGGCGGATGCCAAGCAGTAGGTTTTTGCCGAAGGGGGAAGAGTGTCTCCCCGTTCAACCGCGCAGCGTCGATGTTGGAAGGTTTAAAGGGCCGCGCTCGTTTCGACCCGCTACGGTGCTCGTGTTTCGTTTTGCTGTGCGGTGCTCGAAGAGGTCTTGGAATGACTCTTTTTGAGGTCTTGGAAGTTTGGATGCAAGCGGTTGCTGTTTGCAGAAGGAAGAAGTTTTCACTGATTGTTGTCACCCCGTCAACCACGTGCAGCGTCTTGTCGGGACACGCTTGTTAGAACCCACGGCACTTCTCGTTTGTTTTTGCTTTGTTGTGCTGCAAATGGGTCTTGAACCCCACCACCAGGATACAAGCAACAGCAACTTTTCTGAAGATCAAACAGAGAAGATGGTCATTGAAACCCACAGCACTCGCTTTTGCTTTTTTTCCCGCTCCACCATTGCTGCACTTGAGTATTTAAATCTATCGGAACACCTGTATGCAAGTGGTCTCATTTGTAGGAAAAGCCCCGGGGTCGTGCCTATCTCCCTAGGCTGTCCCCATTGTCTCTGTTGTAGAGTTGCTGTACCGTTCTGCAAAAAGGGTTTTGAAATCCTTCAACAACGCGTGGATACAAGCGGGGTCTGGGGTTCAGGAAGGAAGTGTTGCTTTTCCCCACCTGAGGCAGCTGCATCTTCATCAGAGCGGGTGGGAGACTCGCAGGTAATGTTAACGTGATATTCTTGTTCAGACCCCAATGAGCTTTCGCTGCCCAGTGCTGCAAACGTGTTACACGCAGACTACACCTTTCAGAAGGAAGGGTGTCTCGTTGCACAATGTCAAAGTGCAACCGTGGACAAACTGTCGCGAGGCCAAAGCACGGTGCGTGCTCAATCGCATCGGTTTGCCGAGCGGTGCTGCAAATGCTGTCCATTGGAAAACCTGGGTGCATACGGTCTTGGCAGAAGGAAGAGTCCCGCAGCATCAGCATGCTCCTGGCTGCTCCGAGGCGAATGGTGGAAAGTTAATCCCAAAGTTTTTGTTTTGCGCGCTGTACTGCGAATGGGCGTTGAAATCAACTGGAACACTTGGACTGAAGCTGGCGGTGCTATGGGCCATTTTCTGTATTCTACCCAAAATCAGCAGGCAATACCCCCTTCGTAAATTAGTCTGCAGAAGCTTAAAGTGCGATTTGCTTTTCACGCAAGGGCCTAAAAAGCTTTACGTCGCCGTGCAGAGCTGCAAAAACTGCGCTTTGAAATCCGTTGGGACACCTGGATGCAAACGGTCAACTTGCGGAAGGCAGCGTGTTTCTCGTGCTCTGAAGCAGAGTTGAAAATTCCGCATCTCCATGACCAGGGTCATTCTCTGAATGGCAGAGAAACTAACCTCATGCTGGGTGTTTCTGCTGCAAGGGTGAAATGGAACTTTTATTTGTATTGTTTTATTTCAGGCTGAATTTAACAAGCCTTTATTTCTATCTCAGCGGTGCAGTTCAGATCCTCCGATGCGTCCGCTCGAAGTTTTAAATCCTCCCGTGCGGATTGCCCGCGCTCGCGTGATTAAACATCGCAGCTTTTAGAACGTGTTCACGTGCGCAAGGGACGGCGCGCGGGACAGTCTAATGCGGGCTGCAAAACGCTGCACTAAAAATGCCTTCATGTAATGCAGTCGCTCACTTGATTCAGCCAAGCACAGCTCCACGGGGGGCTCACGTGTTTTTTTTATTTATCGGGCGATTGCCAACAGGGCAAACACATTTTTACAGCGCTGAACTGTTGCCGTATTGTGTTGCGCGAAAGAGGCTCCACTTGTGGCTCCTATCGAAATGGCTCCTATCAAAGTGGCTCCTATCGAAGAGCCTCCTATTGAAGCGGCCCCCTGGTGTCATCTTTCAGGGTCCCCTTCCCTGACCTGACGTGGGAGTTCCGCAAGAACGTTTCTTCAGCTTGTGACACGACTCTGATAATAGCTCAATTTAGTGGTTAAACGTTTAAAAAAATTTAATATAATTATAACCTGAACAGAGATTTTAGTATGAGAGAATTGTGTGTGTGTGATCTTGAGCACTGTCGCTTCCCGCCGTGTTTGTGACCGTTCATCTGAGCTGCAATTGTTACCTTTAAAGTGTGCGGCAGGGAATTACATTTCTGGCTTCAAAATGCCGACTTTTTTTTCATGTCCCAGTGTTCCGAGAGAAATTGCTGTTCCTGAAATGAGGGTATCCACCCTAGCTCTTTCCATATTAGATGTAACACAGTAAGCTATTTGGTTTATTATGAATACAAAATATTTTTCTTTACTTTTATCCTGCTTGCGCTATTTGCGACGAATCCATCCGGCTCTCTCTCAGAACGGTGCAGACCTCTGTTGGAGAACGGCCCACGGAGGCAGATATCGCAGAGCCATCTCTGAGATCCCTTCACGTGACCTCTCGTTCACACCATAGAGAGGGCAGCACTTGCCAAACCTGCTGTGCATTCAAAAGCAATGTTCGTCGCAATTCTCAGAGCTGGAGTTAAAAAAAAAAACAAGCGCAGAATCAAATTAAATGTGATATTAAATTGTACGTGCAGTCAATGGTGACTGGACTGAGACCACCAACTCGCTACGCTTGAGACACCCGGTTTAATCATGGGCGGCCGCCTGGATTCTCAACCTTGGCCATCTCGGCACTGGTCTCTAAACCAGCTGACAAAACGGGTGGTTCAATTTGTTACCGAAACAGCGATTTAAAAAATGCCATCAATATCTGCTTCCGTGAACCGTCGTGGGTGATGCGCTGCTCTGCAAGAGCAGCAAATGGATTCTCCACCTCACAACGACGCTGATAGCCTGCAGGTAAAAGTTGCCAAATATAACAAATGTGACCCCACCCCCCCTCAAAACGACGTCTGTTTTGGTTTTACTTTCTGAGTGGAGTCTCGAGCAGTCGTGTGCCTCGGTTAATTTATTGCAAACGTCTCCTCTCGAAAGAGGGGAAAAGCCTCGAGTTGTGAGAATTATAACTTACGACAAACCCATCCCTCGCGGGTTTTGTAGCTATCGTGGTTTTTGCGCGGTATTTTTTAAGGTGCGACGGTTCTCCGATCGCGCCACCGTGGTTCAACTGTTCGCGGGTGACCGCGAGATTCCTGCACGCAGTGTAACTGCACTGCTCTCGACGATTCTTCCGCAGAAGAACACGCGCGGTGCCTCTATCTCGCCTCCTATCTCGTCTCCCAAGCAGCCCATCACGGGTCCCAGGCCACGCGGCGTTCCCAGCCTCCAGTGAGGAGGAGGCGGCCAGGTTCAGCAGCGCGATTATTTTTCTTCGTGTCGTGTTCAGTACCCTACGCGGATACGCATACAGTACTGTACACTACATGAAAAAAATCATACATTTTTCTTGCATGTAATACTGAACACTAGAACATATTAATTCTATTTTACATTCAAAATTCTTGTTTTTTATCACAGTTTGGGTTGCCGTAGGATAACATAAAACGCAAGGAGTGGGGTGTGTTGCATCGTGAACAAAAACATAGTTTTCCCGTCTTGCGGATCGCGGATTTTACCGACCGCAGCTCTTTTCAGGAACGTAACCTCCACCACCGGCGACGGGCATCGATGGAATGAGAGACACTCCGGCAGGAGGTTCGATCCCGACCCTTGACGCCTGCTGTATATTTGGAGTTTGCGTGTTCTCTCCGTGGTCGCGTGGATTTGTATCCACGTCTTTCGGTTCTTACCTCCACATTTAGAATCAATGTTCGTTTTAAGAGTATTTTTCGGCTATAAATTTCCACGCAATTAAGCGACTTCGCTGAGCTATCATTTGTGGTCAGGTCGCTTCTGCAAAGAGCTACATAGCTCTGTGGCCCTTACCTGATAAAATAAAAAATAATTTAGTTTCATAGTTTAGTTTCCACCCTCCTGCACACTCATCCCACCCATTGCAACCTCCTCTCCCTGATCACATCGCTTTCCTGCCACGTTATGTTCCCAGCTTCCAAGTTGCTTTATCCCAATTCTGCCATGTCTTTCCTAATCATGCTCTGTGTGCACCCTCTACCAAATGGCCAGAAGTTGGTATTTGTGTCCAGTTGCTTTGAGTTCAGTTCTGGGTAATTAAATCTATTGCCGATCGTCCTCAATAGCCATAAGAAAGCAATTCTCTGTAGGTTTTCGTGTTTGTGCTGTGTAGCTTTCTCCCGGTGTGTCGGGTGTTGTTCGGCACAATGTCCTGAAGACATTTCCAGCGAATGGAGCAAAACTGTCGGGCATTTTTGCCAAACAACAACGTGTGGTACAACCTGAAAACACATTGTAAATGAGCATCTTGGCCTTCCACAATTATTGTTCACCAGCAACGTGTCTATTTCGTTGTCAATACCGGTTATTATACCATCATAAGAACAGGTTCTGACAGTTTAACAAATATGACATTACAGGGGTCATTTTGGTCCGAAGACTTTATTTATAGTAACAAAGAATGCTGCCTTGAGATTTTGCGATTCATCTCACACACCTTCGGACGCATTCTCGTCGTTCGCCAACCTCGCCGCCAGCATCGCTCCACATCTACCGGCCATTGTCCCGTCTCTCGCCATTGTAGTCTTGCCCAAAGCTCACCGCCGTTCTTAAATGCTGCACCATTTTTACGTTTTGTTCCATCTTCTTTGCCCAGTGTCCCCATGTTTTCCCCTGATCCGTATTTGTCGTCGCTGGCAGTGGAGCCGTTCCCCCCCCCCCCCCCCCCGTGGTTCATGGCCCCGTGCGTGGGGGGGGGGGGTGTTCAGCTTTTCAATGTTACGCTGTCGGATGTAATGCTTATGGTTTCGTTTGAAGGCGGGAGGGGGGGGTTAACACGGTGTGATTGTCCCCGGGCCCCGTGCAACCCACCGTCCCCCCCCCCCCCTTGCCCCATGGACAGGTATGACTGGCATGAGTATGTAAGACTGAACCATTTCGTCGTTTTTGATTAAAAAATTCCTTCAATTATGGCCTCTAGCTACGGATGCTGCTGTTTTCAAGCGGTACCCCTTCGACGGTTTATTTTGGCCTTCGGCAACGTCATTCTCCGTTACTTTTGTTTTTTGCTCATTTGCATCTCAAGTCTTAAGTGCAGTTTGGGGAGAGTTTTTTTTTAGAATAACCTCCCCCCTCCGCGCACGTTTGGGGATGTGTTCCCGAGTTTCGTATGAATGTGGAAAAAGCTTAAAATCGGTGTGCAGATGCAACTATTTTGGATGATCCAAAAACAAAACAAAACATATTCCGATTTGATTTCTGAAAATGTGACATCACTTCCACGTTTACGACGCCGTGTCGGTTATTTTCACGGCAAAAGTGTCGTCGCTTGGCGTCAGTATCACAGCATGCGAGGCCGCGTCTGCCTAAATTATTTAAAATATATATATCAAAATGTTTACGTGGAAATTATTTGTCTAACGATGGGAATTGACGTTGAAAATGTCAATGTCATTAACGTGTAACATTTCATTTATTTCTTAAATAATGAGGTTATTATTTTATGTAAAAAAATGTAATAGAATATTTTTTTCCAGGATCATCATTTTAGTTGGAATATCCCGTTTTCAATTGTGCCCAGGGGGAACATTCAAATGTTAAACATATAAAATAAATTCCAAAATTGAGCCACAGAATTTGAAAATCTTATTTCCCCCGAAAAATTAATCTTAAATTCAAACTTCTCTCTTCAGGTAAGCTTGTCCACTGTGCAGGTGAGATCAGAAACCTATTTGCTATACTGCCACCATCTGGAAGTGCCATGGCCCATCTGACTGGAAGTCTGACACTGCACATGATCTCAGTGTGATCCACCAACACCACCTCTCAAACACTGTATATTTACATCTTGACTTAAAGCTTTCGTGACTGCAGGAATTCATATTCTTTGGGTCTTTCGGTAAAGTCACGTAGATATGTTCAAAGAAAATAACAAAATTCTACGACATTTCGATCGCAACACAAGCGTTCATCACGCTTGTGTTGCGATCAAAACGTCGTAGCTTTTTGTAATTTTTTTGTTATTTTCTTTGAACCTATCTACGTGACTTTACCGAAAGACCCAAAGAATGCTGTATGTTTTTTTTAGTTTGAAAGGCTTGAGACGCTGCGTTAAATGACTAGCTTTCCTAGGTTGTTTCCATTTACAGTAAAAAAAATAACATTCACAAATCAAACCTGCGTTTTATTTTTGTAATGTGCTATTATTTCATATTTCTTGCTCAAGATTTCAGTCGGGATGTTAAGGTCGGTGTACAGTTTTGGAATTAATAAACATGACCTCTTGCACCACCACAAATAGGCCGTATGCCATTAAGCTTCTTTGCAGTGAATGTAACAAAAACCAGTGCCACTTTCCCGTATGTCTGTCTCTCCACGTAAAATATAAATCGGGTGTTTTTTTGTTGTTGTTGACACATGCTGTGTTAGGCGCACGGCCTTCCTGGAGTACGTTATTTTAGCAGCATGTGGTTCAACACCAGGCAAACTCTGGACTGGTTTTGACATTCAGTGTCCCATCAGCAGGGCAGGCTTGCTTGAACAGATGCGAAACGAGTTGATACGTAATGCACGAGATGTTATCGTAGCCGAAGCTGGTTCATGTCACCATTGTGGAGAATGTAAATTTTGCGGATTTACTCTCCCAACACACCG